GCTAGCCTTTAAAGAATCGAGGATGCGCCCGTGTAGCCCATACGACATCCCAAAGTGTCTCATGGTCAACGGAGTCGAACGCCTTACTAAAGTCAATTTGCATGATAATAAGCGGCCTGGCTCCGGCCACAGTGTGCTTCGAGATAAGATGCCTTAATGTAACAAGTGATGCTCGGTGCCAAAACCATGCCTACATCCAGCCTGGCTAACGGCACGTAGCCTATTGCCCTCACAGTAATTATTTAATCGCCTCCCTATGATATTGGCATAAAGTTTGCACAGGGGACCCCCAACTGCGATCCCCGGTAATTGTCACAGCAAGACACGTCCCCTTTTTTGAATACGGGGGACAGGGTGCTAGTCGTGAACTCCCTCGGGTATTCAGCTCCGTATATGCGGTTGAATAGCACCGTTAAGTAAGGCGCCAATACAAGCACGGGTTGCTGCCCTTCAGTTTCCCTGATAGCGTACTTATAATACTCGGCCGGGGTTCCCTCCAGGCCCGCGGACTTATTGTTGCGCATAGCCTTAAGGCCACTAGCAATTTCATCCTCCGTAAAATCCTTGTTAAGCCAAGCAGCTAATTCCCGTCGGTGCGTCACCTGGTCCTCGTCCAGCCATCTAAACTGAATACCCTCATTGCGGCATTGCCTCGCCTCTCCTGTACCATTAAGCACCTTGGAAAAATGCTCGGTAAAAGCATTAATATCTGAGATCCCGCAAGGAGGTGGTTTTCCCCCACGCAGCCATGTCCACAATCCGCGTGGGTTGGACCGGGCGTCCTTAATCCTCCTCCGCATATCTTCCATTTCAAACTCCTGAATAGCGGCCTTCCTAGCCTTCTTAAAGGCACGGTGCTTGGCCTTCCAGGTAGTCCTATGTAGATCGGGCAGCTTGCCTGAGACGGGGTCCCTGACCTCCTTACGGAAACTCATCATATCATTCCACGCAGCTGCACAGTCCTCGTTCCACCAGTCACGCTTCACAGACTTTTCCATCCCCCGTGCAACGCCGAACGTCTCTCTAGCACACTTATTGATAAGGGTGCGCAGGTCATTCATGCTTTCGTCACAGGGTGCCCCTTCTACAAGCTTTTCCTTGAGAGAGTTGATGGTCTCTGTAATAATGCCATCTGGTTCACGAAAAAGCTCAGTGAAGCGTCCCTTGCGTGAAATATCAAAAATAGGGATCCGTTCACGTGCTAGGTGAGGCTTCCGACCCCGTGCAGCCCCTGGCCTCAAAACGGCATGCAGGCGAAGGATAAGCGGGTGATGATCACTCAGCACATAAGACTCTCCCCTTAAGTAAGATCTAAGGACTTTGAGAGTGTTAATCTGCTCGAAGAGCCCGTAAGATGCAAGGCACAGATCAATAGAACTGTGACCCTCAGTAGAGTTGGAGTAAGTGAAGCCCCCGGGCACATCACCAGGTGCCCGCCCATTGACAATGGCTAGCCCTGTGTCAAGACACATTTGTGCCAATCGGCGGCCAAAACAATTCAGCCCACTATCTCTATTTTTACGGGGAACGCCGACGAGGGAGTGTGCCCCTATTCCATTTACTCCGGGCAAGTCTAGAATAGCTGCTGTACGGGCATTAAAATCACCTGTGATAAGCACCTCATCACCCATGCACCGCAGTCTATCTAGCTCGCCAGTAATGCTTCCAAATACAGCGTCGGGGACCTCGCTATACGCCAGGCCACTACCATCCGTGCTGCTATAAACGCTGGACCCCTGGGGCGAGCAGTAACCAGCCCCCAGTAGGAGCGCCCGCCCTCCCGGGAGAACGCTATGGAATCGCAACCAGACGATCTCCACCCCAACGGGTGTATTCGTTAAGCCCACTTCTTTCACGCAGGGGGCCAGCTCATCACGCACAAACACAGATACACCGCCTGACCTTCGAGAGCCTGTGCGCGGTGCTCTAGTACATGCAAGGTGGCTATAACCCTGCAATACTAGTTGCTCCTTGGCACGAGTGCGATTAACGGGCGCCTTCGTCTCTGTAAGGATGATAACATCGTGATTGAGCAATCCACGAATAGCCTTAATTTGGTCAAACTTGCCTGCCGAGAAGGAGTGGATATTCCAAATAAGGAAACGGATGCTATTACCCCCCCGGCGTGCTCCCTACTTAGCTGCCTGCCTCAGCTCTGCAGCCATTTTGCGGATGTCTATTTTCGCCCAGACACCGCTGTCTGGCTCAGTAAGCGCCATGAGGTGAGTACCCCGCCATGAAGGGGCCCTCTTACTATCGACTAGGTGCCGAAATACGTCCTGGTACCCTTTCTTGTACGATTCGCCAAGTGCTGTGAGCGCCAGTGACACCCTCACAGCCGGGAACGACTCATCCGCTCCTTCCTCCGCATTAAGGCCCAGCTGCTTCCGTAATGAGTACAGGGCATAATATGCCGCTGGGGTTGTCGTGATTCGAACACGCTGGGTTGTCCGCTTGCTGCTGCACGCAGCGACGTTCGGGTGTGCCTCGACGGTGCAATCTAAGAACACAACCTTCATGCTCGTAAGCTGCTGCAAGCACAGTTGCAGTTTCTGGATCACTTCCTCCTGCGTCCAAGTAGCTGGTAGTCCGTCGATGACCAGTGCACCCCGGTCTATATGTCCATCGGTGCTGCTGGTAGTCTCAGCCAGTGCTTTGGGGGGCCTGGGAGCAGGGGCGCCTGCTGTCATGTCAAACCCTCTGCAGCTTGCGGCCACCTCATGTGGTCTGGTAGTGATCGCCGTCACCTTTGGGGCTTTGGAGGTGGTGGTATCAGCGACGGCTCTGTTAGGTCTTGGTTGCTGTTTTGGCTGCTGCTGCTTCGGCCGTTCTTCCTGCTCCTTATGGAGTTTTTCCCGGGGATCTTGTTGGTCTTGCTTTGCAGGCGGCGCTGCTTTGGGGCCAATGCGACGCCCCCCCGTGGCTCCAGTACATCGTGCACAGAGCGCTAAGCGTGTTGAGTACTAAGTGCCTCGTCTAGTGAGAATTACTTGGGAAGCCTCGATCACTAGATGGTGCACTTACGACAGGAAAATGAAATTTAATTGTGAATGTCTCCGAGCCTACCAGGGAAGCCGCGACGCCCGTCCCCACCACTGTTAAGCACTCAGCAAAAATGGTCAGTGAAAACGTTAACATCTCCAATCCCCATGGTGGCGGGCTACCCCCACGCAGCCATGTCCACAGGCCGCGCGGGTTTAAACGGGCATCTGCAATCCTCTTACGCATGTTTTCCATTTCGGTCTCCTGAATTGCGGCCTTCCAAGCCCTCTTGAAGGCACGGTGTTTCGCCTTCCAAGTAACCCTATGTGCGTCCGGCAGCTTGCCCGAGACGGGATCCCTGACCGCCCTCGGGAAATTCATCATTTCCATGCATTGGCACACGCCTCGTCCCACCACTCGGGGTCCCCGGAAATCCCCCGTCCTCGTGCTGTACTGAAAGCCACCCTACCGCACGTCCTGAACAGGGCACGCATGTCATCCATGCCCTCACAAGCCTCCTTCCGTGACCCTTCGTTCGAGCTGATGGCTGCGGCGGTGCTACCGTCCGGGTCACAGAAAAGGTAGGTAAAGCATCCTTTACGCGAAATATTAAAGAATGGGATGCGCTTGCATGCCAGGGTAGGCCGGCGTCTTCACACAGTCCTGGGCCTCGTGGCAGCGTGAAGAATGAGCGGCTGATGATTGCTCAACACGTCCAACTCACCCCACAGGTAAGAATTCAGGACTTTGAGGGTGTCTAAATGCCCCAAGAGCACATGCAATGCAAGGCATAGGTCGATGGAACTGCACCCCTCAAGAGAGTTATGAAATGTATGGGCTCCATGCCTGTCTCCGAGTGCCTGCCCATTGACAATCGCGGTTCCCAGTATCAAGGCACATCTGTGCCAACCTCCACCCAAAAGAATTGACGCCGATATCACTATTCGCGCGATGGATGCCTAGGAGGGAGTGTTTGAGCGTTTCGGGCAGGTCTGGAATAGCTACTGTACGGGCACCAAATTCGCCTGCAAATAGCACCTCGTCGCCCTCACGCCGCAGCCTGTCAAGCTCGCCAGTAATGCTGCCAAATACTGTGTCAGGGACGTCACTGAACGCAAGGCCACTCCCGTCAGCGCTGCTGTAAACACTGGACCCCTGGGGCAGTACTTTTAAAAGTGGTTACTAGTGACCAAGTGGTTACTGAGAAATTAATTCCCTTCCGAAAGGTGGTCACTAGGAAATTTAACGAGTCACCTGCAAGTAAATACGTGGTCGCCAGGAAATTTGGTCGCAGACCCACGTAGTGACCACCTGGAAAACGTTTGACGCTTGGAGCAGTGACTGAGCTCGGCCGGGAATGTGTCGCTGTACATAGAGTCAAAGTTGATGAAGGCTTGCTCAGATGGCTTGTTCATTATAACTATATGGACTTGCATTAACTTAATACTTGAAAACCCCAAACACGGTTGCGAAGCCTCGTAGCACAGGAAAAGTAAGGAACATCCCAGTGGGCTCCTGTTGAGCACACTCGCTGGGGAAAAGTTTTTGTAAGGTGGTTACCGACGAAAAACCCCCACAGTAACCACTTGGTCGCTAAAACATTACCACGGTAAAAAAGTTTTAAAAGCACTGCCCTGGGGTGAGCAGTAACCTGGCCCCCGAAGGAGCACCCGACCTCCAGGGAGCACATTATGAAATCGAAGCCAGGCAACGTCCACCCCCACTGGAGCATTTGTCTGGCCTAATTCTCACACATGGGGAGCCATCGCGCTTCGAGCAAACACGGATACACCGCCCGACCTCTGAGAGCCCGTGCATGGGCCCTCGTGCGCATGAAATGGCTATAGCCATACAATACTAGTTGCTCCTTGGCAAGTTTTTGCAAATAACAGGCGCCTTCGTCTCAGTTAGAATGACCACGCCATGCTTAAGCAGTCCTCGCACTGCCTTAATCTGGTCGATTTGCCCCAATAAGGAGCCGAATGCAATCGATTAATATCACCACCCCAGCATGCTTCCTACTCATTCGTTGGGTTCCGCTGCCTCAGCTCTGCGACCAAGTTGCTAGTGTCTACCTTCTCCCAGATGCCGCTGCCTGGCTCAGTGAGCACCATTAAGTGTGTGTCCCACCATGACGGTGCCCGCTCGATGCCGGCCAAGTGCCAGAAAACATCTTGGTAGTCCCTCCTGTACGATTCACTACTGGCCATAAGCACCAACATCACCTGTACTGCCGGGAATGATTCCCCCGCTCCCTCACCCTCAGCATCCAGGCCCAGCTGCTTCTGTATCCCTTATAGGGCTCGATACGATGCCGGAGTTGTCGTGAGGTGGACCCATTTTGAGTCGTTCGCCTACTGTTGCACACGGTGATGCTCTGGTGTGCCTCAACAGTGCAGTCCTTGAACACGACCTTCAGCCCCGTCAGCTGCTGTACTCGCCGTTGCAGTTTCTGAATCACCTCATCATGTACCCAATCTGCTGGCAGTCCATCGACGATCAGAGCACCGTGGTCGATGTGTCTGCAGGCGCTGCTGGTTGCCTCGGGTTGCACTTGGGGCCGCTTGGGGACAGAGGCGCCAGTTGCTGTATCCACCCCTTTGCAGCCCGCTGCCACCTTCGGTTCCCTGGGGCAGTGGGCCGGTGGCGGCCGCCACCAGCTTCGAAGGTCTTGTGGCTGCGGCGCCAGGTTCTGTCAGGCTTTGGTTTGGGCTGCTGCTGTTGCTGCTGTTTTGGCTGCTCCTGGCGCTGCTGCGGCTGCCGCTCCAGCTGATGTTGCCATCCCGAGTGCTGCTGCTGTCCTGGCTGCTGCAGTTGCTCCTTCTTGTATTGCTTGTGGGTTTTCTGCATCACAGACGGCCTGCTGCATGCCCAGTGTGATCCGCCCCCGCAGCCCCATCAGCCATCCCGCGCGGACCTTCTGCTGGGGCTTCAGTGCGTGTCCGCTCCCAGTCATTAAGGCGCTCCTTAAGCATGGTGACACGTGCGGTAATGCATTCCTACACTTTTGCCCAGCTCGGAAGGGTAGCCCGAGGCCTGGAGATCTGCCCCGTTGCTCGAACAGCTGTCAGTGTGTGCACCGGTGATGGTACTACTTCCCGCTGCCAGCTCTTTAGCCCCACTCGCGGTGTACATGCTGAGATGCTTCTCCAGAGCTTCCATGCGCTTATCTAAGGATTTCATTGCCACCGTCACCGAGGCTGCTGCGTCCACCGTTTAATTGCGCATTGTGGCCAGCTCGCCCTGCATGGAACTCCACTTGGCCAGAGCATCTCAGTGCGCGCATTCAGCTCCTTGGCCCGCTGCACCGTGAGTTTGCGCTCACCCACGAGCCCCTGCTTAAGTGCAGTGCTGTGTTCCTGTGGGCTCGAAGTGACCTCCTTGTGCTCTTCCAGTTTACTGTTCAGATCATTGATGCGCTGCTTGAGGTCATCGTTTAGCTGCTGAAGTTTGTCTCCATGACTGACCAGATGACTCTGGAACTCAGCTCTGGCAGTTGCAATGCAAGCGTCCAAGAACAAACTGCAGCTCTGTGCGATATGCTCCTCTAGGGGCTTGGAAGCTGGTGCCTGTCGGCCAGGTGTGAGGTGATTGACTGGAGCAGAGTACCATTTTACTCCAATGATTGTCTGGTGCACGTTCCTTTCCTTCTTTGGCCTGTAGTCAAAAAGAACTCTAGGACTAGGAACTGTGCCTACTGGCTCCGGAGTAAAGCTAGTGGTAGACATCTTGTTGGGAAGAACATGCAGACAGAGGTGCTGAGGGCTGAAAGATTAGGGATTGGGGTCGGCTACCGGTCAGGCAGGAAATTTGGATGCGGTGCACCAGGGCACGCAGTGCCCACTTAGGCATGCACTGACCCATAGGTCAGGTCAGTTATCTACTGTTCTCCCAGCCGAAGACAGAAGCCTACATCACCGGTGAGCATGAATCCATGTAATGCTCTACATGAACACCTCTCACTTCTGCCTATCCAATATGCCAACCACGGGACAGGATGGGGGCCAATGCTGATGCTGCCAAGTCAAAACGGTAGGTAGGTTAAGAAGGCACGGAAACCAGACAGCACCTGGAACATAATACCTTCAAATCCAGCCGAAATGACAGGCAGGTTTTTATAGAGGCCTAATAATCTAGCATGACTTAGTATGTCAACACATTCTTCCCAACAAGATGTCTACCACTAGCTTTACTCCGGAGCCAGAAGGCACAGTTCCTAGTCCTAGAGTTCTTTTTGACTACAGGCCAAAGAAGGAACGGAACATGCACCAGACAATCATTGGAGTAAAATGGTACTCTGCTCCAGTCAATCACCTCACACCTGGCCGACAGGCACCAGCTTCCAAGCCCCTAGAGGAGCATATGCCGTGGGTGAGCGCAAACTCACGGTGCAGCGGGCCAAGGAGTTGAGTGAGCGCACTGCACATTCAGCTGAGACGCTCGTGGCCGACAACACCATGAGCCTCCTTAACCCCAAGGAGAAGGCCTGGTCACGACAGGTGGTGTAACCTAACGCCTAGGGCTGAGTGGTCCATTATCCTGGAGCCAGGGCTGCCCTCCGCTGGGCTAACTCGCACTGTGCGAGCCTCCTTGACCCCGAGGGGGTCTGGTCACGATAGATGGTGTACCCTAACGCCTAGGGCTGACCGGCTCCTATAGCCCGGAGCCAAAGGCTGCCCACCAAAGGCCCAACAACCAAACACACCGCTCACTAACAACACAGCCAGCCGCCCAAGGCTGTGCTACAACTTAGCCCGCAGAATTGCCCCCTTCCGCGCGTCTGCTGATGCAGTTGTAGCTCTTGGTAAGAACGGTGCCTTAGCCAGTTCGACCTTTAGGGTGCATTTCCAGTGCGGATTAAGGCCAGGGATTAACCCTCTGTCCTCCATCGATACTTGCTCAAACGGCTAAGTTGTTGGCAAACTTACCTCGCCTTTTCAACCTTTGGTTCCCTTATGGAACGAAACTATGTGGTAAGCTCGTACCAAGGACTTCCGTGCCCTAATCCCTGGGGAAATACACCCTTAGTTACTCCGCTGACCAATCCCCGCGGGGCCTCCAGCTCCCCTAGCTTCCCCTGCTAATCCATGCCTATCACCACCAGCTTTTCTCTACAATCTTGGAGACGCTGGAACTCAGCATCGCTGAGCGGCGGAGCTCGAGGTCGCACGCAATGTTCAAAAGCCATATTGTCGCTGACGAGGAAACTCAACTGCTGGTTGGAGCTCCTTACATTGTTGGAGCTGATTTTAATGAAAACAAACGAAAACGGGGCACATCAAACGGGCGCTGCTGCTAAGGCGGGAAATCAAAGCAAAGCAACACAGGCGCCCAGATTGACGAAAAAGACTAAGCCAACAGTATTAAACCGGCAACACACAAGGGTTAAGCTCCAACGAGGGCCGGCCCGAGCAACTTGCATACGCCATACATCTCGGTTGCAAACCACATTTTTCGGTTTAACCTGAAAATTTACCTTTACCGAAGCGAGCACCTTAGTCCAGCGATTGTTGGGATTTTAGATGAAATGGTATGCTAATATTCAAGTCTCAGGTAACTTTTTCTGGACTATGAAGAATATGATGGTAGCGGATGGCCAGCTGAAGTTGGCAAACCTTATCCACAGTACATGACTAAGGACAGAGGCTAACAGGGTGTCTCAACTGGGAAGTCTGTTAGCGACCTTTTTTAAAAATTCTCACCCGGGACGTCAGCTTTGCACGTAAGTGGAGACCGTACGTAGCCAGGTACTGCTAAGCAGGCGCGCTGCAGCAGCTGCAGCGACATAGCAGTCTGGATAGTTCTCTCATCTCGGCATGAATTTTCTTTTTGCGTTATGATATATACAGTTTTCCTTCTGCATTTCTATGATATCTATAGCCTTCGGCTGGCCCTTGGGTCCGACGCGTATGGGCCCGTTACACCATTGGGGGGGTAAAGCAACTCAAGGTGCAAAATACTAACACATTACTGACGTTATGCAGGCCGGCAAGAATGTTTGCGGTTGCTTCGATTTGGTACGCATGACTTCTCCAGCGAAGCATGAGCAGGTTTGGACTGATGAGTTAACCAGCTACTGATCCAACGTGAAAAAACAGCTGTGCAGTGCAGGCTGGCTTGAGCCGGAGCTGATGGAGTGATCTAGTTCTGTGACAATAAGGGTTACACTGGCTAGAGGTGCCACAATACGACAAACCTCCAACAATGGCTCGAATGGCATAATTGGACTAAGCATTACCTGCAGGTAATGCCAGCTGGCGAATGGTTACATTAGTCAGATTGTCCTGTGGGAACGGCCCCAGGCGGATCCAGTCAGCCTTACTGTAGCTACCTCGAAAGATAAATCTCAATCATTCCGCCATCTTGCTTTACCTTCTTCCATTCCGTCGTACCTCCGCTGTGAGTGTACGTACGCACTCGATTCTTGGCTTCCGCGGCTAGCGCACAATCACCGTTGGGTAGATGCTGTCGTAATTTACTTGTTGGTTTAATCAAGCATGTATTTTCCGGGGAGTAAGGGCTTGTTTCACCTTTCCTTGGCCGCGCTCTGACTATGCCATTCCTGTAACCGTCGTCTCGGAATAAAAGCATCCGCATTAATTATTGAGAGCTACCATTAGACACTCCAACAGTCCCGGAGATTGCCGTTTTACACAGCGAATCCTCCAACAGTACGACTTCCAGTAACAACATCGTTGAGTGTGCGTGTGGTGGGCTCCAAACTCACGAAGAGTAGAGCCAGTTGGCCAGCTGACCGTGCATTAAAGACTAATATAGGAACCAGGCTACCACCCAGACGAGGCATCGCAAGTCAACTTACTCAAATCGTTGAGTGCGTGCTTGTTGGGTTGGGTTGGGACTGCATGGCTCCTGGATTGAGCCCGCATTTCGTCGTGACTAAACAAGAGGATAAAATATTTTCCTTGGCCAGGCAATATTTTCTCTCATCTTTGCATCCGAGGACATAACTGGGCATTAAGGCACACAGTTCTATACGGTACACGGTAAGGCACTCGAAGAGACCACTTGCTCAGATCCTTCACTTGCAGCTCCTTGGCCTAAATGTGTGATTGCATATGTTGGATTCCGTGGCAACGCAACCTGGCGCAACAGTCGCCTTGTTTGTAATTGCGCGCACCATATCGACGTGGCCGCAAGGTACCTTCATGTTATGTTAATACTATGGTTTGTAATCGGCCAAGAGCTGCCTGTGCGATGTTGCGCCTTCCTCGTCGCAGGCCCTCTCGGGTTATCCCTGTTCGACTTACTCAGGACGTGCTGCACTGAGATGGCATCCCACACCACGTTGCTTGGATTACTGCTGCTGGCCCTGCTAAGCGTAAGCGCAGGTGAGCCCAACTCGATTGGGCCTTTATGGCTAACAACGCTTGCTGAGGCCGTCAGGGCCAATCAGACAATATTCGTGCGTCGCGTGCGCACACGCACAGCTTCTAGTACATTTAATAAGAGAGATCTACGAGCTTTGTCATTTTGGAGTCGTGTCACGGTAGCGGAAACACTGCCCGGTGGATGGGTCCAGTGGAACGCGCCCCAGTGCGTGGCCGCACCTGACGCCATGCATGTGCCGCCGAACGCATGGAAGCTAGCGTTGGCCTTCTTATGACCCACTGCCCCTCTTCAAAGTGTGGACGATTTACCATGCATCCTTACCAAGCCGCAACTATATATTTTAGCACACACTCTTAGCATGCACATGGTCGTGGGGCGCGGCTTCCCATATTCTAATGTCACGGTGCCGTGCGTCACTGCTTTATGGGCATTTTTCATGTGTATCATAGCACAAGTGCAGTGTTGCACGCTGCCAAACGGCACCGTGTCTCACGCGCCATACGCTGTACGCTAAATCAGGCCAAATGTGCCAAGCGAAACCGCCTTCTCCTTTGCAACGCGCCGTGTTTAATAAAAGCCCTCGTGTGATTGATGTTTTTTTACAGTGGCAAGGGATTTCCCCGCGAACCGGAAAGGTGGGGACGACAATGGTGATGACGATTCTAGAACCAGCCCGAGCCCCAGCCCCAAGGAAAGTCCTAGCCCTAAAGCCAGCCCAAGCCCTAGCCGCAGCCCAAGCCCCTCCTCAAGCCCAAGCCCAAGCCCCTCCTCAAGCCCAAGCCCAAGCCCCTCCTCAAGCCCAAGCCCAAGCCCCTCCTCAAGCCCAAGCCCAAGCCCCTCCTCAAGCCCAAGCCCAAGCCCCTCCTCAAGCCCAAGCCCAAGCCCCTCCTCAAGCCCAAGCCCAAGCCCAAGCCCAAGCCCAAGCCCAAGCCCAAGCCCAAGCCCAAGCCCAAGCCCAAGCCCAAGCCCAGGCCCAAGCCCAAGCCCAAGCCCAAGCCCAAGCCCAAGCCCAAGCCCAAGCCCAAGCCCAAGCCCAAGCCCAAGCCCAAGCCCAAGCCCAAGCCCAAGTCCAAGCCCAAGCCCAAGCCCAAGCCCAAGCCCAAGCCCAAGCCCAAGCGTCAAGCACGTCGCCCAGCAGCAGCCCAAGCTCGAGCGCAAGCCCGTCGCCCAGCAGCAGCCCAAGCTCGAGCGCAAGCCCGTCGCCCAGCAGCAGCCCAAGCTCGAGCGCAAGCCCATCGCCCAGCAGCAGCCCACGGCGCAGTCCGAGCCCACGGCGCAGTCCGAGCCCACGGCGCAGTCCAAGGCCTGCGAAACCTTAGTGGAAAAATTGCCCTTCGCCCGAGACCCGGCAGAAATTAGGGACATGAATGCTATTGTTTCCGGTCATAGACTTGCTCACTCCGTTTAGCTTTAGGGTGTGCTTTGAAGACATCCCGCTGGTCGCTGTTGCTGCGCAGCGGCGTTTGCTTCTCCTCCTTTCGAGTTCGAAAGGCCATAGATGTCGGCCCTACATCATATACATTTTCCCATGCTCTTACTTTGCCTCATGAGGGCTTACGCGTGAATTCGTCGGTGTCCTGAAGTTAACATGCACAACATTCCCCATGCGCCATGGCACGGGTTGGTCAGGTCTTGGTATCTCCTTGAACCTCTTGGGGAGTTCCGGTGCGGGCAGCAGCTATAGCAGGTGATCCGGTCGATTCCTTCAATCTCCGTGCCCTATGTCCCGATTTGCTCACGGACAGTAGCCTTTAAGCAACTACCAGGCCCCTTTCGTTAGGTTGTATATCATCGCTTTGCTCACTCCGTGTAGCTTTAGGACGAAGCTGCTGATAAAAGGACGCGCCCCTTGCACCTGCGCGTTACATGTCCTCGCGCATGTCAGCGGCACCGGAACTTATATAACACGGCCGCATCAATTTCAATAAATAAAATTCTGTTTGGTGGCGCAAGGTGCTAACATTTACCTTTACAGGTTTTTGCAAGGTTAAGCATCAGTCCAAGGCGTCCGTGTGTAAACCACACTTCTAGGGCACAAGTTCGCATCTGTATGTTCTAGTGAAAAAACTGAGCCGCGAGGGCGTAGTGAGGATGCATGGCACACGCTGAGGTCGTTGTACGAGCAGCATTACGGAAGGAAGCTGCTGCTGTGAGTTGGTAGGAGTCAATTACACCTCTTCGTCCGGAAATGCAAGCGTGCCGTTTGGGGCTTCATTCACTTCATTAGTTTGTTATAGCTATAGGTTGGTCCAGCTGGCGTCGTGTGCTTGGCCCGTCGACACAGCTCACTAAACCAGAACACATGACCATGCAAACTTTAGTAATGTCCAAACGTTCTTCCAGATAGTATAACACACTCTAGATTAAGCACGTGTAATACCATTTTGGGCGTTCCAGGGAAACCGGGTTTGGCACTGCCGTCGTGTCCGGAGCCAGACCATGTTGTACCGGCCGTACTGGCCAGCAGCAATATGCGTCCCCCCACAACGGAGATCTGCCAAGGGTTGCACATCTGACCGAAATCCAGGCAAATGTATAGTTTGTTACAACAACAATCCTTTCGCGCCTTCTGAATCTGTGCCAAAAGATTTCTGAACTTCACCTGATCCCGCCAACATTTTTCCTTGCATTTCTATACTCGTGGGAAACTCCACAGCACGCCTGAGAGAGTCATAGACCTGCACTCCATTAAAACGTGGTGTTCATCCTCCACCACGCCCCACGGTAAATTCGGCATGAACGACACTCGACGGGTTTTGCGTCCCAGCGGACGTGTGCAAAGTAGGATGCGTTGAGGTCCCATCGTCCCAAACGTAAGCGCATCAGTGCCGTATAATGCTTTCGCGGCATAAGCACTTCATAAGTGCTCCAACTTCTCCATAGGCGTGGTTGGGTCATATGCCACACCCATCCAATTCAGGTAGCGGCATGCCGTTACCCCAGGTTTCCGTGAATTACTTTCTCCATCAACAAACTCGGGAACTTTTCGTTGATCCCTATCAATATCACTCAATACCCAATCTTCCAACAACCGCCGCCAAAACTTACCCTACTGTTGGACCGATTCCGCTATAGGAATACGGCCATGTACGAGAAGAAACGCAGTGTAAGATAGTTGGTAATGGAGCATATTCGTTTGACAGGCAGCTTTTGGGGCGGGGCCCCAGCGCGAAGCGCTTCGTGCTGGGGGCCCGCCCTGTAGAATTTGCCCCCTGCTGTGTGGCCGTGTGGCCGTGTTTAACAACCAAACATAATATCTCGCTCCAATAAAACGCAATATCGAAAGCCGTTAACATTCCATTTTGTATAGTATTTGGCCTGTAGCTGACAAAATTCGTATGGGCACAAACAAATTTGGCTGCTTCCTTGGACCGAGGTCAAGGCCACACCAATGCTTCTCGCGCTATATTTCGGTCCATACGATGCCGTGCTTCTTCTTAAAGGACATGAAGTTGACGGCGTCATGCGAATCGAACATGCAACTTGCGCGACCGTCTCTCCGTGACCATTGCCGAAGGCCTCACAATTTGATTAGCGTTTCTGAGATGATCTGCGCTTTGGTGATCGCATGTGTCCACGCCTCCGAAATGTGCTCAGTAAGCTGATATTTCTGGACCCTTCTGGAGAATCTCGGAGGTGATATCCAAATCTGGCTGCCGTACTGGCATGCACCCGGAAACCACGAAACTCACATCACCCTCGCGCATGGTGCTGCCGATTCCCCGTCACGCGACGGTAGCAGTCTCAATCCCCTATTGGGTCGGTGACTGACGCGTGCAAATTTTGACTGATTAGCTTCCAGACTGCTCTTGTAACGTCGGCTTACGGACTGCGCTTGCTAAGTGCGTTGGCTTCTCCGACCGCTCTCTGCACCGCGAGACAGCACAGCAGTGTGGCTAAGCAATGGACCTGTACGGATTAAAGGGCCCACGCCCTTTTCCCGGCTTCGCAGGAGCCGACACCACCTTGTTTTCCAGGCAGATCACAGTCTGGGATCTGGTTCCTGTCGACAAACGGAACGGGCGAGACACAACGGATTGCTGTAACTATCGCTCGCGGGACCACAACTAGTTGCGTGACCCGGCGAATGCCAGGCAGCGAATTGCCGCACAATAGCAGCACGTCTTGACGGAGCAGTATGGTCCGTCCCTTTGGTCAGTGGAGGGATTTGCAAGGCTGGCGAGTCCATTTCATGCTGCATGCTGGGGTGATTGACTGTACGACAAACTGCCTTGTCGGCGCCAGAGCTACACGACAACCTATAGCAGTCTGCCGACAACAGTGTTTTCGGGGAAACGGGACTCGATGGGTGTTTTTATTAATGTTAAGTTGTCTCCTCGATATTGTGTGGTGTTCCGGTATCCATGTACGCACTAATAGTTGTGCTGTCATGCTGCTGGGTGTTCATCGTCAGGAGGTCCAGGCGGCAGCTCAGAAATCGACGGAGCTGAGATCGGAGCTTAAATCAGTGGTGGGGGAGCTAGATTTCGCGGACTTATCGTTAGGGAACGATGTCCCCTGCAGGCCACTTGCAAACCCCCCACATGGAACACTTTGCCCCTCATAAGCAACTCTGGATGGCATTAGGTATCGGTCGTACATTTGGAGGTGGTCTTAGTGCAAAGGTACTACGACTGACTTGATGGTGTGTGAGACTGACAATCGGTCCTAAAGGAGTAATTGTCTTCGTTGACGTGGGCGGCAGCGGCTTTTGAGCAGCAGGGTCCGGTCTCAGCGGGTGGCGTCTGTATATTGCGCGAAGTAAGACGAGATTGGTTAAATTGGTTGAGGTCAGAGATAACCAAAGGCTTGGTTAGCCGTTGGCCATGGCCGCATGCAGTCGGTGTCCCGTATGTGGATGTGACAGCATGAATGCGCAGCAATGTAGAGCGAGGATGAAGGCCCAGGGTTGGTTCCGTGTGCACTTCCGTCCTATTGCCTACCTGTTGTAACAACGTTTGAGGCCTGCTGTTGCACTATTCACCCGATATGCAGAAAACATGATCCCATCTTATATATATGACTGCATGGGCCTAGCCTGCTCAGCAGTCGGGCCAGATCAGGTTCAACGCAACGGCCTCAGTCCTCATGCCACTCAACATACATGTACATACGTCGATGCCTTCACGTCTCAATTTGCAATCTCACTCGACTCTCGTTTTCTCCTACTCCGCATGGCTGCCATCGCCATGTGGTTGCACATGGCGCCAGTCATCCTCCTGCTGCTGCTGTCGATACAGCTCTTCCTGTTGCTGCTGAGCCTTAACATGCTGCCTCTGGGTGGGGAAGCAAGCTTGTCCGATGGCTGCCTGCTCCCGCCAGCGGTATGGACTCCACCACTGCTGTCTCGCTGGGGAGCTGGTTAATGGTCGAGGCTTCTGTATTTTTCCTGCTCGTCCATTCCTACCCTTCTTTTGGCTCCCGCCATCCTGGTGCTGGACATGATGCCCACCTGTTGATGGTGCACCCCATATAGCCTCGACACATTTTACGAACAGCATGGCGCTTGTCAATGCTCGAGGTGCTCGTCAATGCCTTCCACCGCGGCTCTTGACATGACCCCGGCAGGACCGCCGCATTAAGCCCCGCAAACAACATGTGGCAAGGGGCGCCGGGCAGCAAGGGGCACAGCAGCCGCGGCTCTCCTTCCACCTCCTCCAGGGGTGCCACCTGCAGACATTTTGCTATCGCACTCCCAGCTGCCACAGCCACATGTTCATTTACTGCTGCCCGTTTGCCCATCACCATTGAGCCACCCTGCACTTCCAAATCCAAATCCATCGATACATCTGCATCCACTCCATGCGGTGCATCTACAGCGATGACATCAGGCTCAATTACCACGGCGCTTGGCACGAGTGAACCCGAAGCAACTATCACCACACTGTCTATGATTTGCAAAGTTGGAGTCGGTGTTAAGCCGCCGGGAGGATCTAACAGCGCTGTACCATGTGCACGCGTCACCGCTGGCAAGATGTAGAAGTTCCGTACAACTGTGGGGGTATCCACCAAAGCCCGGGGGCCATGGACTAAATATATTGAAAGCTAATTCCCCTAAACCCCTCCTTATCCGATCACCTGACATTTGTAGAGACAGATCAGCAACCGCCAATAATCCAGCATGCGAAACGTAATCCACTAACTAGACCTCATCTCCACACATCAGTAAGAGGCCATAACCTCGCTTCTTGTCCTCATTGTTACACTGTGTTAACGCTAAACGGACGACAGCAGCGATGCCACCGGGTCTGGCCCCAACCGACGCTGCCACCGTGCTGCCTATCTGACACCGTAGCTGCATCGACCACCACTCCGAACCGCGGCTTGCACCTCGATTACACCGCCCCGCTGATCGGCTTAGTATCCCCTCGGGTTTCCCTGCTGATCGGCTTAACCCCCTGCCACCCCCCCCCACTAATGACCGATTATTTCAAGTTGGACCAGTGGCCGGCCGTGACACTTAGGCACTCAACCACCGAACGCGCCAACGCCCGGGGCTGAAGGCCAAAGAGTCCCCAAAACTGGGTGGAGAGGGCGGGAATGACAGTATGAACCTAAGGTCACGATACGGCGAATAGCCGGAACAGAACGCAGTTCAGTGTAATAACCATACTGAAGGAAGTACGACAAGTACAACGAGTAACATCTTCGTCCAAGAACCCGCCTTCTCGCAACGAGAAGTCTATGCATATTCAATCAATGATTGCCCAGGACCAGACCCAGGACCTTAACCTGCTAAATGCAGAGATGTCAAGAGCACCCTGCTCCCCAGAACTTCTTGGATCTGGCTGTTTGTTCCACAAATTGCGCCACCGCCGGCAAAGTTAACCGTCGTGGCGGCTCATGCTGCAATTTCATGTGCTGCAAGTGCTGCAGCCGGATTACCCATACCAGTTTCACTCTCCACCCGCCCAAATGTTAGGGCCCCCTCGCTCTGCAATCTCAATTGAAGCTCAAATTCGATATCAAGCTCGGAGCAAAAGATTCATCGACATGACCATCATCGCTACTCCTGCAGACAACAGGCGAATCTTCAACGCTCACAGGGATTCGGCCACAGCATTAGTTTTGTAGTGCGGTGCAGTGCCAAAGTCACGTGAAGTCTGCCTCAGGCCGGCACTGCCCCGACCAAGGTATCAAACCGCGCTCCGAACGTGTGTAGAATATGAATTATAAACAACAGCACGTCGTCCTGTGAATAAAGACGATTTCAGTAAGTTTGTGGATTTCGGTAAGGCTGTCGTACAGATCCTTGATGTTCAGTTCCGGTGAATTCTTACAAATGATTCCTTGACAACCATATCAGTTTCAGAAGTTTTCATAATCATAATTAGATTCGCATATTTCTTAATAAGCTCATCATTCCTTTGTAGCTATCGCGCTGCAACAATTAGACTCTTTTCCAGCGGGTTGTGAGCACCCGAGACTGTAGGCTGCTACCACCTTCGTGGCCGCCCTTAAAGTGGCCTTGTTACATTGGCTCTTGCCTGGGTTGTACCTATCCTGCCCCGTCGGCATCTCCCAAACATTCTCCGCATTGCCCTATGCCCCATTGTCCACACCAGGCCCAGCGATTCTTGCCGAAGGCGACTCCGCTGCCTGAGGCGAAAATGGACCGCTGCAATAGGCCGGAGGCGTGCCGTACAGGGCCATGCTCGCGAGCCACGGCGGAGGGTCCAGAGGGCGCTGGAGGTCCAAGGCAGCCGCCAGTGTGGTGGGGCCGGACACCAAGAGGGGCCCGCGCCGACATTCTAGTAACACGATGTCGGCAGGTGTCCCCAAGACCTGCAGTGTCATTGTCAGGCATACCAAAGGGGACGCTTTCGAAGCAGCGGCCACAGCATACATGACCTCCTCCTCACCAGCCGCTGTACTGTAGTATCTGTGTCCCAAAAATAAACCACATCAACTTTGTCGAATACGAATAAAGTCGAATAAAGTCCGTACCTTCCGGCAGCTTGCACATCGCAGCTCCATACCTGCCGTGACTGGCTTTCTGGAGCCCGCTCCGTTGCGCTGCTGCCGCCTGCCGCCCCTTGCGCTGCGCCGCTAGCACCACGGCCCTGCTCTCCAAAAGCTCCCGCTGCCGTGAGTCGAACAAGACTTGGTTTCGGGGCTGGTGCAACTGCACAGGTCCATACGGACCACAGTTCCTTAGGGAACAATGAGTTGGTTGGGGCCCTAACGTGTCAACCCAGCGGGGACATCATTAAGGACTTCCTCTCAGGGCATTAGGGGAAAGCGCCCAGCGTAGAAGCGGTCCCAAGAATTGCAGGGAATGATGGCGCCAACCCGCCAAACACTCTGCCTCTCGTTGGGAATATTGCAGGATAGTTCCGGACAAATCCTCCGAAAAAGCTTCTCATTTATCCCTGTGAGAAACCCAAACCATGCACACATTACCACTTTCATCTACCGGTTAAGGACAAACGCAAGTTCCTTCCTATAGTGCCGCTTCCACTGTGTCACTGGTACCGCAGTTCTGGTGGCCTCCTCGGCGCCTTCTTGGCCCGGACCCAGTCCGCCGTCCTTTGGGTCACCGGAACGGGGCTCGTCGCCGCCAGAAGGCCCCAGCCGGTAGGAAACGACCCATGGGTCAAAGCTACACATGTCGCAAATGCTGTAGAAACTGTCGACACAGGCAGCACGCTGATAGCAAGTCCCGAACCCAGCTGCAGCGGCCCTATGCGGAGCCTGTTGGACATCGGTGTGTTACTTTCCTTTTCATAAGAGATGTTGAATGCGATGGCGTCCGTGGTGCCTTGATGACGTGCCAGCTCCATTGGCGCACCGACAGCGGGATCGGCGTCCACAGGCCGGTGCTATCACCACTTCTGTGAAGCTACCCACCGCTTCTTCCAGTATGCTGCAGCTACATACACCACTTTTATCACAACTCAGTATTCACGTGCCGCCGCCGGTGCCGTGTCCACCCTGTCGTTTTTGCTGCTGCTGTGACGATTGCTGCGCGGTTCCCCCCGACCAGTTGCCTCCGTCAGCAAGGGTGGCAACAGTTGTATCGGGGCCTGTGACGGAAGCGTCTGATGGGGCCTGCCTGGATCCTGCTGCTTTGGGCTGTGCAGGCCGTCCTCCCACATCCAGCCCGTTAGTGCACAGGTAGCCACATTCCCTGAATCGCTACACTGCTGCACGCCGTATGTCCGCTGCAGCCACTCCTACACCTCCTCCATCAACTGAAACGTCTGCGGGACTGGTGGCTGGGCCCAGCACGGTAGCTGCCGCAGCAGTCGCGGTGGTAATGGAGGCGGCGGCTCCCCTACAAGTCAATCCACGCACGGGCAAGTGTCCAAGACCCAGATTATATGTGCTCGGGGCAGCAGCCGCGGCTGCTGGGACTGGATCGGCCGGCAGGAGAGGCCGTGGCCAGCGATGCTGGCAATGCCGACAGAGCAGTCACCGCCCTGGATATTCCCTTCCTGCTGGGTTTGATGCCGAATGGCCTGCTGCAGCTCCTGTTGTTGCTGCTGGTCGTGGCATTTCTGCCGCAGCTGCGCTGCAGAGCCCCCGCCATCCCCGTGTTCTCCTGGGTTTGCCGCGACATTATAGTGCTGTCTGCACTCTTCCCTCCAACTCCTGCCTCCAACTCCTGCTTGGCTGAGTTGCCGCATGGAGGGTGGGTTAGAGGCAGCACATGAAACCATCTATAGAAGTGAATTGAAAGCGGGCCTAAAGAAATCTAACGAGGAGAGCGTGGGCGGAAGGAGGAAAACCTCTGGGGTATGCCATGCCAGATGTGACTGGGGGATTTGCGTTACGGAAACCTGTGACCGCAGGTAAAATGCCCCGTGGACAGGGGACAACGAAGGCTTACGGTGAAATCCCAACTGCCGTAGGTTGCCGGGCTTCAGGAAGCGAGTTGCCACACGAACAATTGAGAATGAAACATTTAACTGCTAAAACGCTAACGCCATTAAATAGTCCAGCGTCAGCATCCCCCGTGCGATAGAAATTAATCCCAACGTGCGCGCTTATGGCTGTGCTCCGCCTGCTTGGTGTGACGGCGCTGAAGGGCGAGACTGTGTCCTACCTGACTACTTTTACTTGGGTAGGTTTGAACATTGGATGGTAATGTCAAAGAGAGCGCCTCGGCTGGGGGCTGGGTAGTCGCAGATTGTTGAAAGGGCACCACCAGGCGTAGAGGCTGCGGTTTAACCTGACTCAACACGGAGAAACTTAGCGACGACGGTACAAGAGTCACATTGGACATCCGGCGCTGTGAGTGTCATTCCCTCCTCAATCTATGGTCTTGGGCTGTCTTGTCCAAAACCAATCACGTGCGGTACGCCCTACCGTCGACCGATGGGCTAGTTCCCCCCCTGGAACGACGTGCAAATATATCAGGATGCAACGAAGTATGTGCAAGACCGAATGCGTGCATTCATATCTCCCATGCCTGAGCTGCTCAGGCGTGCAGCACGCCTCTGCTACTGGGACACACCAATGGCGCTCTTCATCATGCAAGTTTAGCATTGAATCCTAGTTGTAGGCATTGCTGGATTTGGCTTATGTTTGGGAAAGTTGATATCCGCAGCTGTACTTTGGCTAACTTCGTACTGGCCACAAGTTAAATGCCCAGTCGCCATGCTACATGAACATGGGATAGCTGCCTGTCAACACATGTAACACCCGATGCTCCCAGGGATCAATGCAAGTCAACTGTCTTGAGAAGTATTGAAATGGTGCCTCGCATCATTCAGTGCCGTCCTTGTGCACCGCGTCCTTGGCCTTGAAAGATGGCTACGGAGTTTTGAGCTGACGTGTTTACGCCCGTGAGCCTGAAGCAGCAATTGAAAGCCTTTGGCACGCAATATGAAACCGCTTGGTCTTAGCAAGCTTGGGCTTGCCACGCATCGTGGCGTTGTCGGCACAGCAGCGGCTTTGGGCACAGGCGTGGCAATTTGCACGTGGAAAGGAGCGCCAGAACGACGTCACGGCGAGCCGTTCCACAGGCCTCTAAAGCTTCCCGTTCCACTTGTGGATGCTATAGCTGGAGCGCTGGGTGAAGTCGCGCAGATCCTTGTCCTGTATCCGCTAGATACTGTCAAGGTGGGGGTCATTCTGCGGTGCCTACTACGTGACTTCCTGTGCGCCTGTGTCCCCCGATTAGCATTATGGCGAAGTGCCAATAATTCGTGCAGCCGTTGATGTTAAGATGCTGCGTTTTGTGGTGTCATTCGCTGTCGTAATGACGCGGACGTCTTTGCTTTTCTTCCTTTATTATCCTAAACATCCATACGGGTGCTAAACAGGTTCGCTGTCAGGCCTCTGGCGAGACTGCAGCCGTGGTGCTGCGCCGTCTGCTCAGCAATGGAGTTAACCTGAAATTGCTGCGAAAACTTTACGCGGGAGCCCTTGGAGCTGCAGCGTGCGCAGTGGTGGTGGGAGCCGTCCACTTTGCTAGCTATGAAGGCTCTCGCAAAGCTTTCCTGCGCCTTGCCTCTACCAGTCACCCAAATGCTGGTGGCAGTGTGTCATCTGTACACGGCGTGCAGGGCCTACACGGCACCCATAGCTATGCTTCCATCCCGGAGTACTGCACTACAGCAGCAGAAGGGACCACAGCCCCAGTTGGCCGCGATGAGTGCCGCCTAGGCCGCACATTGGCCACCTTCGCTGCAGCTGCGGTTGCGGCGGTTGCCACCGCGTTGGTGGAGTCCCCTGTCGAGCTGTTCCGCCACAACGCACAGGCTGGGTTAGTGGCGCCCAACTTCATGCGGGAAATGGTTTCCACAGTGCGCAGGGAAGGCGTGGGCGGCCTTTATTGGGGTTTCCTCCCTCACTGCTTCGAGGCATGGCCTCATGATATCGCGGAGCTGGCAACCTACGGCCTGATGCGTGAGTTCCAGGAGAGCGCCTCACGACCTATTTCCCGCCATTATAATTGGGCTTCGGGTATCTCTGAGCACGGCTGGGATTTAATGACCGGTGCAGCCTCGGGCGTCTCCGCAGTGCTCTTATCCATGCCGTTTGACACAGTGAAGACCTATCTACAAACACACGGAGCAGACCTTTCGGGGCGTGGCGTGCTTGGCAGCGCGGCGCTATTTGTAAAGTCCGGTCGGCGCATTGTGGCACGCAAAGGGCTCGGGGGCTTGTATGTGGGCGTGACTCCACGGCTGCTGCAGCAGGTGCCGTCGGCCATGGTATGTTGGTGGTCGATTGCCGCATTTAAGCGCATCATGGAGCCATATACATTGTCGGATTTGGAAGGAGGCCATGGCGCTACTTCGTCCGATTGCCTGGAAGCTGCACCTCCAGGTCATGTGTAGCGCATGAAGTGCGGGGGAGTAGACCAGACGGGTTAGTAGCACGAGTGCCCTGTGCAATAATATGATTACAGCTCCGAGAGAAAACGTATTTTAGCGTCTTGTGCTGCATTTTGAAGGAGAGGCCATTTGTGCGGATGTTTCGCCTACATGCAGCATGCCGGATTAGGTAGAGAAGACAAGAATAACGCGACAGCTATACCTGTGGCGTGTTGCCAGCGTCCGGCTGGAGCGGGATCATGCAACCTTATTGCAGCTGGTCTTCAAAGAGGCCTTGTTGCTGCCATGGGCCAAACCTGCAAGGCTGCTGTCGGGCTGACCTGTGCGTCTGTGACCAGAAACCCAATATTGTTATGGTGAGGTCTCTGCTGCCTTTAACGTAACGCTACGCTTACACGTGAGGTGCGGCATTGACCAGGCTGACCAAGCGCGCTGATCTTTTCAAACCTCCTCATGTGGGAGGAGGACGTTTCTGCAGTCGTGGGTGTTGTTATGCAGTAGATTTGCATGGCAATGTATGCGGGATGGTGCACCAGCGTCACAACTTCTTGCATCGTCCCTTTGTGCGTTCTCTTGTCACGTGTGAGGCCGCTGCGTTTTCCTCCTTCAATTTGCATGGATAGGCGCGGAGAGCAGCGATGGAACTCGGCGCTTAGGCACAATGCAGAATGAGATACGATAGCTTTTGTACAAGTGACAGTTGGGCTGCCTTTGGCCGTTGCAGGCTAGACTTTATGCGATGGGGAACAGCTTGAAATGTGGTTCCCTTCTGTGACATCCTTTGCTCCTTGATACAGACGGCGATCGCCGTATGTGGGGGTAGATATTCTCACCAAGAAAAGGAAAAGGTCGGAGGCAGCCGAGGGCTCCAGCCCTCTCCTTTGGGGTTGGGGAGGGCTCCATAGTTCAGCCGAGGACAGGTCAGAAACAGTTAATTACCGTGCAAATGGCCAGGGTTATTGGTGAAAAGTCCTTTTTCCTTTGCGTTTTCGTGCATGCCAGTAGCTAAGGGAGGGCAATGCCAATAATTTTACCTCGGGAGTCGTATAAAAAGCTTAACCGCCGCTGTCCGTCGATAAACTGCAAATCGCTTTGGAAAGCGGCACGTCAGCATCACGCAGGATGTTATAAGTGTAAAAAGGTTATACATGCAGGCCACATAACACCAATAAAACCGTATAAGACGCACCGTATAGTGTTACGGCTCGTTCGCCGGTTTAGCATTGTTAAATCAATGGAGTCGAATATTTTAAAGGGGAAACGTGTTGTGTAACATTTATACCTGCCAGTCTTGCGCCGTTTCCTTCGCTGGCCCTGAAATGCACTGAGCTGGTATCCAACGAAGCGGGCTTAGCCTTTACATTATTGATCTGGCATAAGGAGCCTGATTCTATGGCATCTGCTTCGCAAGATGCGGCGAAGGCGCGCCCTGCGGCTACTCATGGTAAATCCAGCGGTCCTTATGGAACATTTCGACCTGCAACGGCGCCTCCAAGCCGGGCAAAGGTATAATTCTACAATATACATTCCTTCGGCTATACTCGAGCTGCCAAGTCGTGCGTCGACTAAGAGTCACTGTCCGTTACCTGCGCAGGGCTCCGAACCTTTGGTGGACGATCCTCGACATGCTGAGGACTCCCCTATGCCCTGGCTTCGATATTTCTTTCCAAAGGTGTGTTGCCCTGAAAGGAGAGTGTTCCCCACGAAGTAGTGCATTCCATGAAAACTAGTGTGCATCCCAAAACGCAGGACTTCGACCTGCGAGAGGGCGAGCCCGTCGAACCATATTACCAGTTCTTTGATGTTATGCTTCAGCCGCTCCAGGTGCGCGAGGCACGTCATTTGCCCTGTTGGCCAGGGAGCGAAGGGGAAGCCGAGTTCTTGTAACGGGCCCCCTTAAGTGAAGTGCACAGCCCCACTGCATCGTAAGCCCACGGCTGACGCTTTCGCGCCAATCCTTTTGCAACTTGTCGTAAGTTTTGACTGTGTTATGTGCTATCTGCTATAGCACTCATCCGCGGGTCATAGCGTGGGGGTTCTGGAACATCAATTTTCCACCTTACACTTGGGTCCTTATACCAGGGTGTCAAGTTGTGCACCCTGTCGCGGGCGCCTGTTCGGTGGCCTGTCTTCTGCAGGAGGATACCTCTATACCTCCCCCCGAATGGGCGCCAAATGCGTACTTCCAGCTCAGCTTTACGCAGCTTCATGTTCCTAAGGATATGGTGCTCGCCACGCGCATCCCTAAAATGCCACCACCACCTTGCGGATCGATTGACCTTATGCGGGATAACTCGCCCCTCCTGAAACCGGGGAATGAGAAACTGATGGCCGACATCCTGGTATGTGTCATTCCCGTATCTTCGCACAGGAGAGGACGGTTTTATGTGTGCGGGCTCCGCCAGTGAGGGCGGAATGCGGCCACCCAGACTGGTTTTTAAAGCACAGATCACTCCTGCGGGGCCCGCATCGGGGGCCCGCATCGGCTCGTCCACTGCTTAGCCTATGTAAGAAATGATGACATTGCTGGTGCCCTGCAACATCCCTTAGTGCAGTCTCCGGTGGCTACTTAGTACACAATTGAACCCCATTTCCTTGTCCCGAAGTGGGTTCGTTGCCGTCGGCCGTGGAGGTTTTGCTTACGATAGCATATGCCTGGTGGTCGCTAAAACTCCCACTCCATCTCAGCCACCGCCTTGTCTGCTGTATTTATTCCTGAAGCCCCACGAACCCTTGCGTCCGCCTGTTCATCGGCACATCGCAGGCCTTTTGCCGTAGCGTGACGACCTTTCGCGCGCGGACCTGGAAGGACGCCATGCCATTGGTGGACCTGTTGCGCGGTGTGTTGCTTCATCTTCTAAACCATTATACCCTGGGAGCAGTGCTGCTTAAGGAGCAGGCGAAAAAAGACGTGAGTACGGCCTTGCGCTTGTGTCTTGTGGTTTTGTCGGGAAATCTGGACCATGTTGAAAAGAGATATCAAAGTCCATGGGCCTCCACTCAAGCTGCTTGGTTGTAGTCAGATACAACCCGTGGTGTATTGCACACGGGATGTGCACACAACCTTGCTTTTGAGTTGGTGAGCACCGCCTTGGGGCGGCAGGATGCAGGTGCTTGTTTGCTGAAGGCCATGATTGGGAGGGTGATCATATTGGGATACTAAATCCATAAGCTATTACGGGTCCTGGCCCGGGCGGCTCTACGCGCGCAATCTGACGGGCAGTTTACTTCCCCACTGTACTGTGGCTTTGCTTTGCAAAGGCGGAGGCTGCCCTGGCTTCGGAAAAGAATGCTCTCAAGGCATGGTACGCAAAGCAGCTCGAGGAGAACATGTCGAAGGCGCGTGCAGAATACGAGGAGAAGTTGGAGGCCCAGAAGGAGCAGCTTCGCATGACACTGGTGAGGTGTCCCCGGGCGGTCTGATGAGCCTATCACTTGCGAGAGGGCTTCCCGTGTTTTCGGTCTCCATGCAAGATTGCACTATCCTGAGCAAGGAGCCTAGAGGAAACGAGGTAATCTCTCCTAGAGTATATGCCAAGACGGCTGAAGGTTCGGAGGCAGGCTCGGGCAATGCTGCTACTGTTCGTGTTCCCCGATTGCGGTGTGCAGGCGGAGGACCTGACCCTCCAGCTGAGAGCAGAGCGCGAGGAGAAGAATCAGCTGCGCCAGCAGGTGTGTGTGTGTGTGTGTGTGTTACATGGTCGTTGGGCGCGTTCCCCATACCTGCAAACGCCCAATACGAGCCGAGGGCTCAAGGGCTGCCAGATCGCCTATAAGCACTGTCCTACCTTGCACTTCAGACAAAGCAAGTGGTAAAGGAGACTAACGACCAAAGAGTTGATGTGGGTCCACATACGTTCCAGCATCCTTGCCAGACGTTCAGGTTCCCACTTCATAGCGTCCTTCATATGCTCAAAGCGTGGAAAATCCATATCAGATCCAGCAGGCATTTGTATTGAATGTGCGCCTGTGACACGTTTTACATGGTGGGGTGAACATCATAGCCACCATCTGCGGCCTCGCCAGTTCAGCCCGTGCATGTCATATGTGCACGTCAAGCCTATCTAGGGCATCTCTGGTCCTCCAAGAAGCTCCTCACGTTGCATCCTTTTCTCCTTAAGTTGATGTATTAAGAGGGACCGCGGTTTCATAATTATTACATGCCCATTACACCTCTCGCCGTCGCAGGCCCAGCAACTGGAGGCGCAACTGCGGAAGCTGCAGGAAGCGAGCTCTACGCTACAGCGTCAAATAGAGCACGGCCAGCAGCAAATTGATCTTGAGGCGCGACGACGGCAGGAAGCGCTATCTGCCCGAGATGCGCAAATCTCCGCCCTTCACGAGCAGCAAGCCAGCCTTCGACGCCGCCTTTCGGCAGCGCAGGCGGCGGTAGTCGATGCCCTCAATGCCAAGACCAAGGAAGACGCGATGAACGTTGCCATCACGGCATTGTCGGGATCTCTGCCCAAGGGTACCGCGGTCTACGTGGCGGAACTGCGCACGGCAGCAGACGTGGAGAACGATGACCCAGCGGCTCCCTTGGTCGCACAGGTAGCGGCGGCCGTCACAACCGATGAAGATGGCGAAAGTGAGGGCGCCCCGGCGTCGCTACCGCGCGCTCTGCAGATCATGCGCGATGTGACGCCAGGCTTCATGACAAGCCCGCTGGCCGCCGTGGTGGGTGGCGCCGCGGCGGCAGCAGGCGTGAAGCCCAGCAGCAGCTCCCGTCCGCCGTCGGCGGTGTTGGTAGCGGCGCTGTCAGAGATTAAAGAGACGTTGGTGTTCAAGTACATCAAGGCTTCCCATGGCCAGGAATTTATGCTAGGCCAGAAGCTGGCATATGGGTCGGGTGTCTCATGGCGGTTGGTGGAGCGCGGCGTGGAGCTGCATGTGCCGGACGTGTCGCAACAGGTACGCGGCTAAGGCCTTGAGGACGGTGTTGTAATCCTTTGAATCAGTGAACAGATATATGTTTACGGTCACGAATTTCAGAGTGTTGCGGTGACTGCATGGGAAGCCGGTAATATCAAGCGACATGTAGCGGAAAAGCACTTACACAGCGCCAAGACCTACAGGCGGTAGGCCAGACCTTCGGTGCCATGCCGCTGTGCACTTGCAGCTACACTTATTGGCAACGTGCAGGCGGCTTATGGGGATTGTTGCTGGCTATAATAGCTGTGCATGTTCTGTACCGATGGGTTTTCGTATATATGTATGGATAACCGATGCTGGCATCGCGTATCTCTTGGTAGCCGAATACAGTCAGCCGCACACCTTGAACATCTTCGTAACCGTGTTACCGTGCAGGCTGTTATGGCTCTCCACCTGCTAATCCTGTGCCACCTCGCCAATGTCCCACCCCCGTACGCCCCTGCTTGTAGCCCGGCGTGTGGTTCTTCCGGACGCTGGACAAGCCTAAGGGCGGAGCTTACTTAGCTGCACCCATTGTGGGTAACAGCGGCGAGGTCATGGGGATGCTGTGCGCGGATACCATATGCGCGGCGGAAGCCGAGGCCGAGGCCGCCGCGGCGGCGGCAGGCGCGACAGTAGGAAGCCCAGCTGGAGACGCTGCGGCATCTGCCGCGTCCGCCTCCGCCGTCAGCGACATGGCGTTTGTGCGTGGGCTGGCGGCTGCCATAGGAGCTCGTGCCCGAAGGGATGCCGATGCATACGCGGAGGCAATGCTCGCAATGGCGCTGGAGGGCGATGATAGTGTCGTCCCAGAGCCGCCGCCGGCGCCTCTTGACCCGCAGCAGTTTGTACCGGGTGAAGGCATCAGCGGTGGGCTTAAGCTGTTTTCAGAGGCGCTCGCCATGCTGCGGCGGCTCACTGATGAGGAGCTGGAGGCCCTTTGCAACTTGGACTCGCCCGACGACGTGAGTGCGGTGGCATCCGCCGCAAAGGGGTTTTGTGACCTTGTTTGGATCAGTTTCGCACTGGATATGACACCGTCCCCTGCTACAAAGCGACCTCTGCCGCCGGTCGGTGTTTGAGTATTTGTTTTGAATATTTGTTTGTCCGCTCTTTCCGTTGCTTGACGTATGCATCCGTTGTGAGACAACCCCTGGTGGACAATGTTCCTGCAGGTTACGCTGGCAGTTATAAAGTCCATTTTAGCTGCTGTGGGCGAAGTGGGTGCGGACGATTGGTCTCATGCCAGGGCGCACATCAACCGGGAACTGCTTGAGCGGCTGGTGTCGCTGGACCCGCAGCAGGCCTGGGCGGAATGGCAGGCGCTGTGCAAGTGAGCGCACGTGCGAAGGCCAGGGGCTGTGCATTTGATTTAAGCGCTGAGGTCATCCGTGCTGTAATACTTGTCCTCTATGGCCGGACTTACACCATGCTCAAATTTTACTTAGAAGCAGGTTTTCCATGCAAATGGACATACCTTCACTATATATGCACATCTTCCCTCAGCACTCGCATAATGCATGCGAGGATGTCCATCCGTCCATATCTGCAGGGCCTTTACGCCCCTCAACGAGCTCTCCGCTTCCTCCCTGGATGCGGTGTCCATCGCTGCGGACGAGGATGCCACGGACCCATCTACCCGCGCAAGTATGGCGCTGGCGCGCTGGGCTGCCAGTGTGCGCATCGTGTCGGCCGCCAGGGCGATGCAGGTAATTGGAGATGGGTATAAAGGGCCTACTTTGCGAGGCTTGCGGCAGTATCGTTTCGTCGCGCCCTAGTTCCTGAATAGGGCAGCATAAGGGGCCAGCCACTGTTAATAACAAGGTAGGGCCGCGCTTAACATGTTGCGATCGATTCAGTTAGTGTGGATGATGCAAGGTGCAAGACAGCGGCCCTGTAGGTCACCCTACCCCTGTTGGCCAAGAGAGATGATGGCCCAGGTGTGAAACCCTGAGTGGCACGTGCACGCTTTCCACCTCTAGCTCCACCCTTTCCAAAACCTTCTATCACTAATGGATATTGCCCTTTCTCATGTAGAGCCTCCTAGAAGCAAAGCTTCAGCAAGCCAATCAGGCTCTCATGAAGACTTTCAGCGGCGACGGCTGTCATGCGCTCAACGAGCTGCGTTCGTACCGCGTGCCGCCACCGTTGACGTTCGGTGTGCTACAGTGCGTGCTGATGCTCTCCGGTAACGATGAGGAGGATTGCCGCAATTGGGCGCGCATGCGTACGCTCTGTACTCAGCGGCTTATCAAACGGCTGGTAACGTTACGGCCAGTGCAGGTGGGCACAGGGTTCCGGGTGCATTGGTGCTGTTCCAGACGGGTTTAGATGGAGTGGTTTCGCTCGAAATTTGTGTAACCAGGCTGTAGGCTTGAGAAGACGGACCAAATTAAGGGTGAGAACATGGGAGTTGCCCATGTGTATCGAGGTCCGTGGATGCACCCTGCTATGTGGTCATGCCCATCAAGTGTAGCCGTGTCAATATGGTGTCATGCATAACGCGCATTTCCGGATGCACTGCTGAGCTGCAAGCAGACAGCTTTGGAGAGCCTTTGAAAGAGCGTTCCCGGCTGGAACGCGCGCTTCCAGAAGTTTCAGCTTTTCTTCGCAATGCTCCTGTTCTAATTATTTGTCTATTCCACTCTTTGGCCGTGCCTGAAGGTGCCTCGTCGTGTCTTCAAAGCCGTGAGGCGATTGGTGGGTGACCTGGTGGAGAGCGAAGTCAAGCAAGAGAGCGTGGCCACTTTCAGCCTCTACCGCTGGCTGAGCGATTTCACACGGCTTGCGTCAGTAGCATAGACGAGCTGCAGCTGGGGTTGAAGTTATAAAAGGGCTACCGGGGAAAGTTAACGGTATGAAGTGATTTAGTTGGAAACCATCTACGTCGCGCTTACTGGAGGGCATTCTCAAAGACCGTCTTAACCGCATGGTGGCAAGTTGCTCGGGCATGTGGGGCGCTTAGGGTAGGGTAAGCTTGACATGTATACCGTCGTTTCCCGCTGATGGACGTGCGGAATACTGAAGGTCGAGGTGTTCGACGTTTGTCAACAGCGCTCCTGGCGTAGCATGCGAGTATTGCAGGATTGAGGCTAGATTTTGACGTCGTTTAAGGGCAGGGGGCTGTGTGAGTTCTGTAGCCATTGTGGAAAAACAGCACTATTGCGTGACCTTGCGAACAGTTGCCGGGTTTGCTATTCATCGTGGATTTTACTTATAGGCGCAATTCCTGCCCCTGCTCTGCGAGACAGCTTAGGTTATGGATTGTGGCGAGCCTTCGGTTCTCCCTCCCACATAGTTCCAGATGCATTCTGCGATGGAAGCGGGCCCACCACAATTTCTGTGGCTGCTCCTCGCATGTTCCACGAACTTGGAAGTGAAGACCCCGCGCGTCTCTCAAACGCGAAAGTCGGTGGGTAGGCTGCCGTCAGTTGATGCCGCGCGGAAATGCGCCTTATGCTGCTGAAAGGCGGGTCATGCAGGAGGGGTTACGTACACAGGGCAGCATCGGGTCACAAATAAGCTTGGCAGGTCCATGATAAAGGTATGGTAAAGTTAACATAGCAGAAATCCTTGCGAACAGGCTTCTTGGCACCGAAGTGTTCCCCGTCTTCCCCTAAAGAAGACGGAGACGTAGGCTCCGTTCGCTTTGTGGGCTTTACAGGAAGGGTGCCGTGACGGCTGCCGGTGTAACTTCGGAGGGAAACCTACACCATAATGCACGTGCAGGGCTATATGCGTGCATGAAGTCCGTACTGTCATTCATCGGTAATGAATTGCTTGGGTTACTCTGCAAGGCTCTGCATTACCAGCACAAGCCGGTACTCGAGAAGGCTGAGCATCCCTGACCAGCGTATCTGTAATCTGGTAATGCATCGCTCCCTGGTAATCGCATCAATTTTAAAAAACCCATCCAACACATACGTTGAGATCCCGTTGCGAAATGTTTACTGACGCAACATGTACAATCTCGGTATTTGTCCTGCCTGTACCGTAAACGCTTTTGGGAGCAGCAATTCAACAGGTCGCTTCGTTTATTGTTATATTACTCAACGTGACGCTGAGAGGAAGGCCGCACATGTCGTATAAGCCAGATTGTCAACCCTTACGCGAGTTAGTTAAAGCAGTTTTACATAACTTAATCCAAGGACAAAACTGTAAGGACTATTTCTCAACCCGATAATAAACAAATTAGACACTATATCATTTAACTAGCGACTTCCATTCTGTTAAGTGACTACGATGAAACAACCTGCCTGTTAAGTGATCCGCAACCATGACAGCGTTTCCGGCAATCCTTTGGGCCGTCACCTTGGCCTTCCTTTCGGTTTCATTGTCCTACCCGGTTATCAACTCAATTAATCCATCTTATGGGAGCATTGCTGGCGGCACAAGGCGAATAAATCATAAGCCGGTTACATGATTGAGGCCATCAATTAACCGCGCGCAATTGTTTGGCCTTGCAGGCTTTCTATTTATGGCAGTGATTTCGGGGACATGTATTCCGACATGGCCGTTGTTTTCGTGGGTCCTTACCCTTGTAGCGTAATTATGCACTTGTCCAGCAGTGAAGTGGTAAGCATCGAAGGCCGTAAGTTGTAACTATGTTATATAGGCGTGTGCTGAGTTAACCGATGAGATTGCTTGGTGTTCGGTATCTTGCCCTTCAGCTGACCTGCGAAACAAGTTCGGGCGTAGCCGGCATATACTTCGTCATGGTCTCCGTAGGCGGAGGAGACCCTGCGAGCTTCTACGGATTTACATATACAGAAAGCTACTCGCCAAGTAGGTGGCTCCTGACGATTTCGTAGCCGTTGTACAGTACCGGTACACGTTAGATATGATGTGCGAGTCTGACATTGAAATGCCTTTTTTAATCTTAGCAACGGTGTGGAACTGCTTTTAGAAACCATCGAGACAGTGACGCTGTGCGCATTGCGCATGAATAAAAATGCACTATCGCCGACGTGTGTCCATCGGATTCCAACCTTTACCAACCTCGCTCGCTTGCAGCTTTCAAGTCGGCTTATCCTTACGCTGGACCCCCTGGCACGGCCGTAAATCTTTACGGCGACACGACGTGGCGGTTGCAGTACTCTGACTGCCCAGCAAAGACGTGGGGCGATATAGACTGCGTGGGGAGCATCACCTTTGGTGACTACCTCTGTCGCCAGGACCCTTCAACGAACGACACAGGAATTACCTTTAAGTATGGCACCCAGCGTTACGGTTCAAACCTGTACATTCTCGGATGCACTTTACCGACACCGGACGCAAATAACAACCAGGTGCGCACGATTCATGGCTGTCTCTGCATAGTCGCTTTACAAATAAAACATATACGCGGGTGCACTCGACAGTAACTGGGCGGGGCCCCCTGAACTTGGCCGTCCCACAGCCTGCAATCGGCACTGCCAACAACTTGAACATCTCAATCCACTTTGAGGCAAGCATGCGCGGAGGCATGCCACGCCCGCTCCGGTACTCCTACCACTACACGACGGACGGGACGCCATACCAGTTCCAGCTGTACCCCGAGGTGACAGGCTTGTCTCCTGCAGTGGGCTCCAACGCGGGTGGCACGCTGCTGCGCATCAGCGGCCGTGGGTTTCCTGACCTTGGCTTGGGTCTTGGCGACACCGCCAACGTCTCCATCTCGGGCGTCCCGTGTTCCGTGGTGAACAGCACGTACGATACGATTTTCTGTGTCACTGGTCCAAAGCCCGCCTATACTTCGCTGGCCTCGATCCCCGCCAATGGCCTGTATCCCGGCATGCGCGGCGTGGAATACGAGTTCTACAACATGACGCAGACCATTAGCTATGGAGATCTGTGGAGGCTGAATAAGACCATCTTGCTGAACAACACGTCTGGCAGCGGCTCTTACCGGACTATCCTCAAAGGCGCAATGGAAAGCATCCATTATGAGACATCAAATCACTGCACCCGCCTCAAGGCATTTTTCGTCGCTCCACGCACATCAACCTACACGTGAGATAGCGGGCATGGTTAGGAAATGGTTTTATGAGCCAGGTGCAACCCTGGCAACCCGCAACAGCAACCCTGGCGCCTCCGGGAATGCGGGTCGGGTGGCGTCCCGGCGCTTATGACGGGTGGCCAGGTTGGAGCCAGCGATCTGTGCACGGGGCCATCCGGTTCAGCTTGTGGTGTAGTGGCATTTTTCGTGCTTCGGGAAGCTTATTCCCTTTTTGGCATTGTAACCTGAATCCCTTGCGCCCATGTGCACTTTTGGAGGTCAAACGGTACTGTTGCCGTCTGCTCGCCCTTCCCTTGTCCCCGTCCCTCACCCGCGGCTCCTTTTTGCAGATTCTACCTGTCAGCTGACGATTATGGCCAGCTGAACGGGACTTTTGTCAACGTAAGCGAGGGTTGCATTGCACACGAAGGCGGGAATGGGGTGGTCAGGGTTACCAGCCATATGGTGGAATGGAATTTGGACGCGGTTTTGGGGACATCACTGCCTCAATTGTGCCTTCGGTCGTGAACAGCTAGCACGCGATTAGGACTTGGGTTGTTTACGCGATCTTGGTATTGAGTATTGGGGGGTTGTTTCCGTGGGGCAATGGGACCTTGTTTGCTGTGAATGTCATTTTATTTCAGTTGGGTTTGGCAGCAAGGTTTGTGGCACACATGAACGGGCCTGATGGGGCTCAGCCACTGGCGTTGGGTGCAGCAAATCCGGTAGGTTATGTGTCCACAGTTCCCCGGTTACACGGCCATCAGATTTCAGTCCGCATAATGAAGAGCTTCTATGTTTCACACGTGTCAGCGCCATTGCCGCATGTTACTGCCCAGTTGCGGTTCCAACTTGCCCTTGCTTCTTGCACAATTTTGTATCATGTTTTTTACTTTTTAAATACATATCCTCTCTGAAAGGGAAACCGCATCCGTTGTTGACCAACCTTGACCCAATTCACAGCAAACTGGAGTTGTTGTGACCAAGACGCTAATCGAGCTCACGTCGTACACGTACCTCGACAACTATGCTATGCGGTCAACCCAGAAGGCGCTGCCACTGGCCCTTATGGCCGACCAGCCTATTTTGTTGGAGACAGCGCATTGCAATGTATGGGGAAGCGGCGCGCTGCAAGTCGCTGTGCGCATGGAGGTGCCTAAGCCCCAGGCGAATTCCATGGTGGAGCGTCAGACAATTACTGTCAGCTCAGTCCTCGTTCCGCGCTCGTTGGCCATCAAGTATCTGTACGGTGCTGGCGCTGGTACGATGGCGTTTACGGTGAACGTAATATCGACCGATAACTCGAAGCTTGACAGCGCTTCCCTTGGCTTGGAGCTCACGTTCAATTGCACGGTCGGGGCCCGGACTGTAGTGCTGCCACTGCTGGCGACTGGTCTGGATATGACCGCTCTGATTGAGGTAGCGTTCGGCGGCAAGTACAGCCTGGGCAGCAATGGCACCAGCTTTGGCGTTTACAAGGCCCGCACTCCGGGGCTGCTCACGGTGCAAATCGGCATTGATGCAGGACGTGCTAGCACACTGGGCTTCACGGTCACTCTAGCGCGGCTCGTGGTGATGCCCGCGCCTGCACCCTACACCTCCGTGTCGTGCGGTGGTGCAGCAAACAACCAAACCGCCCCGACACGCCATCTTCTGGCCGCTACCACGGACGTGAACATTTCTACCGGCGGTATGGTAGTTATCCTCGAGCAGTCGCGGCCCGTTACGGCAGTGATCCCTGGCGGCTTTTTTCAGCTCCGCCTTGCTAACCACGCGGACGCTGTAGTTCTGTCGTATGACACAAATACCACCATCATGTGGTCCGCCATCCGCAACCTGACGTCGTTAGACAATATCGTGGCGATTAACAGCGTGCGACGTGAGGGCGCCTTCCTGGCGCGCGTATGGAATGTGACGTTTGCTATCAGCGCCTTCAACAATGTGCCGGACCTTGTGGTGGAAACCAATGATCGCACCCCTGATGGCGTGGAAATGGGCATGGAAGTGCACATCGCCAACCCGCCTGTAACCGGCACCTTTTGGGTAGCCTTCGGTGAGAATTGTGGTTCCGTGGAGATCGATGTGACGGATGTGTCAGAGGCGATACGCCTCAAGTTAGCCAGCCTACCTGGCATGGCGGCGCCGCAGAGTGTCGTGGTCTCCGGCGGACCAGCCTATGGCTACACGTATACCGTCTACTTTGACCCTATCGGCAACCCCGGCGACCAACCAATGCTTAAGGTGACAGACATTTCCGGCCTCAGTGGCATTGGTACCAACGCCAGCGTGGTTACGGATGAGAATGGTTCCACTGACGCCTTCTACGCGCCCATCCCGACGGAGTTTCTGCGCCTGGCTGTTTCGCAACCCGGGACCATCAACTTGCAAGTCAACGGCGTGCCATCGGCTTGTGCGGATGCAAGCGGCATCTGTGGGTTTTTGTACTCTGATGCTGCCACCCCACGCATCACAGGCGTATCACCAACTAGACTCGCATTCAGCAGCCAGGCGAGCTTGCCCCTTACCATTACTGGTTCTGGTTTCAGCAGTGGCCCCAGTGTGGAGGTCCGAGTGGGCACGGCGCTGTGCAATGTGACATCAGTCACTGCGACCCAGATCACCTGCAACGTCCCAGACACGGCGCCTGCTGGCGTCCGGCTTGTTTCAGTGAACGTGGCTGGCCTGGGGTTCGCGGACGGCGCTCCAAATGTCACACTGGAGACGCTCTACGTGACGGGCTCTGCACCCTCGCCGGCCGTACTGTCCTCCGCGGGCATATCGGTGCTGAACTTCACAGGCAAGGGTTTCGACTACGTTGATTGCGCGAACAATAAGTTCAGTATTGCCAACGTGTCATGCGGTGTCGTCGCCTGCGGCGCACATTTCCTCACGGTGGCCTATCACGGCAACGGCAACGCTGACGTGGCATCTGCTAGTGTCACTGCGGAAGTGTATGAAGATAGTTCCATGATTGACTGGGATATACCGCCGAGCGTCCAAGTCCAGATTTCCCAATCTGCTTCATCCATCAGCGGCCTCTCTCCTGCTCACATGCCTGGCTGTGGGGGCGTGATTACATTGTCTCTAACGGGAACAACTGCCAGCCAGGTGACGTCGGTGTTCATGGTGCCTTTCATCTCCTCCTTGCTTAACTATACCGAGGCGTCGGCAGCTTACAAGGCCCGCGTGGCATGCACTGACGTCACAGCAGGCAGCTCAGGCACCTTGACCTGCACAAGCCCGGCCTTGCGCAGTGGCCGCTACCACACCCTTGCTGTTCTCTCCTCGGGCTTGCAGCTATTGTCGACCGATACCATCCTTTTCGAGCTCTTCATCACCAGCGTCTCACCCAATCTGGGAAGCATTGGTGGCGGCACCCTCGTAACCATCACAGGTTCGGGTTTCAGTCCACTAGTTGCGGCCAACGCTGTATTCATGGCAGTACCCGTGTCCAGCACTTTCCTCAACGGGATCATCGAGTGTGTGACGGAGTCGGTTACAACTACGACACTCACATGCAGAACCCTCCCCAGCATGGCTGCTAACGCCGATGCGGATGACCCGAGGGCTACCAAAGTCATGCCTGTCGCCACGCAGCCGAGGCTCGTGTCGGTTGTGATTTGCGACCCTGGCTATAACACAACAATCCTGAGGGGCTACTGCTGGTCACTACCCGAGACACCACGTGCTAACTGCGCGGCAAGCGACGCCTCACTATGCAGCTTTGGGTACGTTGGTGGTGCGTTGGGTTACGTTCATTGCTTGTCACCCGGCAATTTTTTGCTGTCCCAGGTGGGTTATGAGTTAGAGGTAGTAACTCTGGTCTGCATCTTGCGCATGGCCTGATCCATGACAAGAACGGGGGGCTGTGCTTCATCTCTTGCTAGTGCCACAAGGGTATTGCCACTGCGGCTTGAATTTGTATGTGGTAAATGTCCGCAATGCGCCCTCCAGGTATGCGACCGACCTCACGCCTTACGTCCAGGCTATCTCACCCAGCCGCGGTTACTACGGTCACAGCGTCAATTTAGGTGGAACGTACATGGATGATGTTATAAATGTGCAATTCCTTCAGGACAATGTCGTCAAAGGACTGGGAAGCAGAGTGTCTGCTGGGTACAGTGGCGTGACGTGTCTCGTGCCCGACCTGCTCCCCGGTGTTTACAAGGTTTTATTGCTGAAGGCCAATGGCGAGATGTCCGTGGACCCGTATAAAATCGGTATATTCACGTACCATGCGGTCATCGCGGGCTTGGAGAACGACGTCGGGTCTCTAACGGGGGGGCTGCAGTTGGGCATTACGGTTGGTGGTGCAGGCCTGGCGGAGAGCGCCGGCGACAATCAGGTCACAATCGCAGGCTTGACGTGCCCAATTTTATCCAAGGAGAACCGCACGCACCTCACATGTCAGGCGCCGGGCATAAATGGTTACGTGTATGCCGAGTACTGGAACCTAGGCTACAACACAAACTCAATGCCGGACATCATCAGCTTTACAGATCCTCGTGAGTAGTGGATGTGTCAGTCCCTATGCGAGTGTTTTGCTCTCCTCTTCGCTCTGATCACTTGCATAGCGAAGCCTTCTTTTTTCCAAGGCGGAAAATAAGTGGCCTGGCGTGGCGTTGCCAGCAGTTCTGCTCATTTCCGCTGTTCTATGCATGGAAGACTCGGGAGCTGATGTACTTGCTAACATGTGATCGGTCTACCTCCCACAGTCGTCGCACGCCTGGAGAAGGGGTTGGATCTCGCGTGGAATGGCAGCTCCCCGGTCCCAGGCACCATTCAGTCGGACTACTTCGCGGCCCGCTTCACTTTTTACTATCAGGTTTGTGGTAAATGAAACCCTTTTTTATAAGAGACATGCTGTCCGCCCTGAACCAAAGTAATGCTTTGTGTATGTATCCTGTGCACTACCACGTGGTAGTGCGGACTAGTCACGTCTCTTGAGCATAGCGGCACTGCTGCGAATCTCAGGTATATCTCATGCTCGGCATCCAAATATTTTCTGAGTAGCAAGGTCTCCAGACTTGCACGATTGTCCTTAAGGCAGTTCTTAGGACCAAATGGTACTTTGTGCATAGCGTAGCCTTTTTATTTGTCCTGAGCGTCGCATTTTCATTCCCTTTCGCTGCCACAGATAGCCCAAACGGAGAATGTGACGTTCCGATTGGATTCAGACGACGAGTCCCGCCTGTACGTGGACGAGCAGCTGATCGGCTCTTGCTGGAATAACCTTAACGTGTCCTTGGCGGCCGGGGTGCACAAGATTGTCACCACGTTCGTCGAGTACTCGGGCTGGGCAACAGTGAAGTTACGAGTGATGCTCACCCGGGCTGATGGCACAATGGGACCACTGTCTACTGTGGAATGGCAGAAGGTCACGCCTGTGCCACCTGGCGAAGCTTTGCCGGTGGAGCTAACGGTCAGTGGAGTGTCCTCGGACAAGTGGTGCCCCACTTCAACCAAGATTCTGCAGCTTCCAGGCCAGCCAGCACTGTCGTGGGAACCTCCGCAGGTTACGGTGCCTTATGGGACTTGCGGCTACATTTACTCTACGTACCGAACGCCGTCACTGTCGATATTGAGCGGGATCACGTACAGTGGCATCATGCAGCCCACCTTTAACAGCACCAACACAACCTTGAGCATCTTTGGCAATTTCCTGACGGACCCAAGCCTACCCGCCGCGTCCCAGATCAGCGTCACTCTGGCCAACCGGCTGTGCAGCATTGTTGGTGTCGCACCGGTGACGGTCAACGGCACCAACACAACCAATATCAACTGCACGGCGCCCGCCTTGCCGGCTGGGCAGTGGCCTGTTAGCATTATGGTTGAGGGCCTGGGTCTTACACGCCCCACAGCGACAGCTGCGACGGACTTGCCAATCGTGACCTATACGGTCAGGGTTCTTAATTACACCTTCAACAACCCCAACTCCAAGTGCTATTTCTCCCTGTTTGGTGGCGGCACCTTCAACATCACCGGGTATGGGTTTGTGAAGGACTTGGTCGATACGACACTTCAAGTCAACATGACGGCTGCTTGGGAAACCGTCTTTTGTGGCTCAGGCTTTTCGAACTCGCCACCGTGCCAGGCTGTCAACTCGTCACGCCTGAATCTTGTGCCGCTGGCAAGCGACGGCTTCACTGCATCATTTGGGCTGACACGCTTCAAGGTGCCTAATCCTGAAGCCTTTGCCGGTAACAACAGTATCAGCGGAGTCAACTTGCGGTATAAGCCGCGGGTGTATTACACGAGCAACGGCACATACGCTGCGACTGCGGGCGCTGAGCTCCTCTACTTTTGTGGTGGCCGCACGCCCGCCCTGTCTGGCGTGACGCCGTTATCTGCACCACCCGACGCTGGTGCAACCCTGTCGCTGACCTGGTACTTATCGGGAGTTGGCACGCTAAACAACATTATCACGGCACCGGCTGCCAAGAACGGCGCCAGCAATGCCACGGTTGAGTTTGAGGTCGGGCCGACGGTGCTTCCCTGCCGCAACCCAGTTGTCACGGATTTCAACATCACCAGCACCACCTATCGCGAGGCGATTTCCTGCACCATGCCTGCTTACATGCCGGCCGCGACGTATACGCTATGGCTGTGCATCCAGCCTTTTGGCTGCGGTCTTTTGCCTGCTTACACTGTACCCCTGACCATCACTGCTATGTCTGCAACTACTGGCGGGAGTGCTGGTGGTATTACCGTGGTCATTACCGGCAAGGGGTTCGATACCAACACCACGCTTGTATCGGTGCGCTTTGGCAACAGCACATGCAAGGTTATCAGCAGCGCCACTACATCGCTGACCTGCGTTACCGGTCCCCTGGACACCAAGCCAGTGAGCCCAGTGACGTGGCCGTTGTCAATTACGCCCACTGCCGGCACCAACGAGACCACCCTGTCGAGCTTCACTTTCACTTTTGACCCAGCCCTAGAGTCGACAGTGAGCGGCATTGTCCCGGCGCGCGGCTCCACTGAAGGTGGCACACCCGTCACTATTACGGGCGCAGACTTCCGTACCGGCGTGAGCACCACTGTCAGCATTGGCGATGTCGCTTGCCAGTCGGTTGTGGTCGTCAACAGCACCGCCATCACCTGCACTACCGGTAAGCCGCCCAACAGCATCCTTCGAGTTCCGCTGCCGGTGACGGTGCTGCAGCAGGGCCGTGGCTATGCACGCAGCTCGGCTCAGTACCAGTACATCGACGTGTGGAGCCGCAACAGCACGTGGGGTGGTGGACCCCTGCCCGGCTACGAGGACTCGGTCGTAATTCCAGCTGGCGTGACGGTCCTCCTGGATATCAGCCCGCCGAAACTTTATGTGATTGTCTTGGAAGGCAACCTAGTTTTTGATGATACCAAGGACTACATTAACCTGCAGGCTCACTACATCATTGTTAAGGGGGGCAATTTCACCATTGGTAGCGCAGAGAAGCCCTACCCCGGCCGCGCCAACATCACCATGCATGGCATGCCTAATAGCCTGGATCTGCCGCAGTATGGCGCCAAAGCGCTGGGTGTCCGGACCGGCATCGTGTCATGGTATGGACAGCCCAAGATCCCGCATTACACCAAGCTGAGCCAGACGGCAAACCCAGGAGATACCAGCATTGTCGTCAACGGAGCCATAAATTGGCAGGTACGGCAAGTCGAGGGATAATTGATGAAATACGCCAGGCTTGGGGCACCGGCATTGTTAGCTTGAACCTGAGCTTGGTGATGTCGGTTGGGTAAGGGATTCTGCACGGATGGTTCCCTGTTGCCTATGGCCTTGAAGTTGGCGTCTTTCCTTTGCTCTTGACTCTCAGGAGTAACTGACGATGTGAAAACCTTATGGATACGGCGCTTTGCTGAGCAGTCATCTAGCGCCGTCGTGTTTCCACGTGTTTGCATTCTCGTCGCGTCTGGCTGTTACCACTTCCCTTCAGGTTGGCGACCGCATCGTCATCGCCAGCAGCAGCTTCTTGCCTTATGAGGTGGACGAGTCAACCATCACAGCCCTGGATAACACGACTGTTCCCAGCTGCACCGTCATTTCCTTGGATGTGCCGCTGAAGTATACACACATTGGCGAAATTCATAGCCAGGAAGATGTTGCAAGGCCTCTGGACATGCGCGCTGAGGTGGCGGTGCTCACACGCAACATCGTGTTGCAGGGGGATTACACTAGTGCCAAGTATCAGTACGGTGTGCAAGTGATGGTGAATACGCCGTCCTACCTACCTAAGGGCGTGGTGCGTTTTGACAACATTGAGATCACGCAGTCCGGCCAGGCTTTCCGCCTGGGACGCTACTCCATGCACTGGCACCTCATGGGAGACATGGCATGGCAGACATGGGTTCGTGGCTGCGCTATCCACCACACATACAACCGTGCTATCACCGTGCACGGCACGCACCGCGCCATCATCCAGAACGTCACGGCGTACCATACCATGGGGCACACGTTCTTCCTGGAGGTGAGCTGCGGGTTTAAATGACAATGTTTAAGATACACTCTTAATCGGAACAAACCTCATGTTGGGCCTGCTTGCAGCTCCACATATCGCTTCCACATTAGCTTGATCGTTTTTATTAGTTTTAACATATGGCTTGACAAATTAGAGGAATTCATGGTTATCAGAGAGTTATTTCTCGTATTTTATGTGATTAAGTTCGCTTTTATTCCAGAAGGAAGTATCTTGATAAACTGCGGTTATAGTCTCAAGTACTACAGGTCTATGCCCAGAGTGCTTAACCCATGTTACTAAGACTATAAATGCACATATATCAGAACCCGAACGTATCGAGCTTATAAAAGCTGTGGTTGGGAATACTCTGATCGCTCATAACATGCGACACATGTTATAACTGGAGGCCCATGCACTAGTGTGCGCATAGTCAGGGAATTTCGTCGATTGCAGTGCTCGCACAGCGCTTGATGGGACCGTTTTCCCAATGCCCGCGGAACTTCTGGCCCCACTGTAGGACGGTATCGAGTCGAGCAACCTGATTGAAGGCACCTTGGCTATTTACGTTAGAGTGTCGGATGCGCTACTTAACACGGACACGACACCAGGCGCCTTTTGGATCACTAATCCCAACAACACCGTGCGTAACAATGTGGCCGTCGGCTCCCATGGCTACGGCTTCTGGTATCGCATGCTGGTGGGTTGGCGCTTTCGGGGTCGAGTGTTTTGTGGGAGGAAACGGCAGAATGCAATATATTCAATCTGCGGTAATTGAGACCTGGCAGCCCGCATGCGAGATTTTAGGGAATACAAGATGGTTGCTGCTGCACATCGTTTCCATCTTGCTGCTGTCTTTCTGCGTCTGGGAGATGTTCCAGTTGCTGTTGGCTGCTGCTGCGTTTGGTTTGGTGAAGTACCTTGGCGCCGGTCAATTCATGTCAACAAACGTGTCCAGAAAACCATCCCCGCCCGCCCGCTTCTTGAACTTGCCCGGTGCCCGTAGGACTACCCCGACGGCCCTTCTGCAACTACGACCATCTGCCCCAAGTTCACGCCTCTATTGGAGTTCACCAACAACACCGCCCACTCGAACCAGTTTTATGGACTGCGTATCCACCCAGAGTTCTACCCGCGTAACGTACCCTGCACGGGCTTTAGCGGCATTTTCCAGCAGGTTCCCGCGGTATTTAATGGGCTTGTGGCCTACAAAAATGGTGTCAAAGGCGTCGTGGCTGGGCAGGTTAGCAAGGCGGAGGGGTTGGGGCTTCGGCTTTATCTTTCCTTCTGCCGCCCGAACCTTTGACGCGGGGATGCCTGCTGCCGCCACGCATGGGGGTTGTAACATAGAAGCAACGTGGTCGGATTAACTTGTGCTTCTAAGGCGCCGCCGTCGGAAGCCTCCACAGCACGGTTCACGATGGCACGGGTCTGTGTTGCTGATTGCAAAGCCTTTTGCTTTGCGTAACGGTGCCTCTATGGGGCCGCCACAGCCGGAGGCATCCGTCCACTTCCACAATGCCACCTTACCAAGCCATGCTGACTTGATGTTTCTTCAGATTCCGGTGGCTTGAAACCTGCTCCCGTGCCCTTGTCCGCGCTGTTCTCATGCTTGAAGGTGGGCCTTGTCCAGTTCGTCAACATGGTACTGGGCGATAACGGCGGCGGCCCCAAGCAGCATTCAATTAGCGGCAAGGACAACGGCGCCTCCATGGAGATTTCATGGGTGGTGGACGACCGCAATCGCTACGACGTTAAGCTCGCCGAGATGGCAGGCTTTCAAAACTGCACCATTTACGCGCAAACCAGCACGGGCATGCAAGGCACAGCAGGCCAGTGGCCATCCAGCCGCCGTATTACGGCCATCATCTCGCAGAGTCCCGTGCAGGGCGATTCCAAGCATTCTGCTCTTATGAGTATGATTAACATGACGTACGTGGATTTCACCGCCGACAAACCTGGCTTTTCGGTGTTGGAGGCGTGTGGCAAATGCAAAACCTACCAGGGTGGTGCTACCACCTTCACCGCTAATACAACCTTCATACAGAGCGATGGCACCAAGCCAGTGCTATCGTTATGGAGCTGGGGCCACCAAGGCATTTTCCTTGACACGGATGGAACCATGCTTAACGCCAAATCGCTGCCTGATTCACTGTTGCCCGACCCGTTTGGTAATTGGACGCTGGGTCCCGGCGCCACCTGGCACTCTGCCGTTGAGAACGATTTGTTTGACCCCAAGGAGTGTGTCTATGTGCGGGACATGTTTACGAGCAACAACGGAGCATATTGCAGCCCCGCTTTGACATTCCGCCGCGTTATGCTTCATAACCACGGCCCAGAGGTGGGTCCCAGACGTGTCATGGGCTTTTGTAAATCGGTGTGAATTGGAGGGCAAGCAAAGCTTGACAGACCTACAGCTCGATTCTTTGAGGCAGGGTTGCGGCTGGGAGGAAAAGGGACCTAAGCACCTTATGGGGTGCGTTTGTGTTCCAGGTTCTCCACTTTGCGTTGGCCCAGCTGTCAACCGTCAGCGACGATATATCGCTAAATGGGCCGCAATCTTCATACGCATGCCTGGGGTTTCACTGCCACTCGGCCACGTATTTCCATCGCCTGTTCCGTGTTTGACGCCATATTTATCGTCCCTTTTTGCCTTTGCCCTTCAGGCGCTTAAGTATAAGAACCTGAACGTAGTGTCGCTGGCCACCAACCGCACCTCGGTCGTGCATTTCTCGGGTTACAATGAGGACGGCTACCAGTTCACCACCGCCACCAACCGTAATTATTGGCTTACCTGGGACATGGTGTTATACCGCTTGGACCCCGAATATTACCAGTAAGTTAACTTCTCGGCATCTACCAGTAAGGAAAGGGGTCAGAGGACGTGCAAGGGAAATGCGGGTTCGTTTGCTGTGTTTTGTAGCCTCGGGTAATTGTTACCAAAAATATGTAGGGCAGACTGCTAAGGCGAGGGATCCAAGACTGGAGCCCACACGCCCACCACCATTGCCCTCCTTCCATTATCAGATGTCTGCGTAATTCCTCTTTTCCAGGCTGCACAAGATGGACCTTATGAATGGCTCGGACTTTGTGTATTATAGCAGCAAGTATATCCAGGTCAAGGACCACTTCACTGTCAACAACGCCCTGAGCAACCGCACTGCGGTTCCTCTTGCTCTGCCCAACACAACTCATGGTGACTCCTTTTACAACAAGACCTTCAACCAGAATTCTTGGTGGTGGAGCAATCGCACCTATAACGACACCAAATTTACTATTTTTCTTAATGGCCGTATTGACGGTGGTCTTTACGTCCAGTCCTATACGTGCCCCGACACGGGGTGCACCGATTTGCCAGAGGTCGTCGTGGACGTCCGCGACGGCACATTGTACTGGTCTAACACGAGCACCTGGAACACGAGCGCCGTGAACAACTTCCGCAAACCAGTAGCTGGCGACAATGTGACCATTCCGTACGGCTGGGACCTGGTCATTGACGAGTCACCACCGCCGCTGCTGGCGCTGACCGTTCAGGGCAACTTACGCTTTGACACCACGCGGGACATCAACCTGACCGCTACCTATATTATTGTCATGGGCCAGGGTGTGCTGAGCGCTGGCAGCGCCACGGAGCCGCACCCCGCCAAGGCCACTATTCGGCTGAAGGGTGCTCGCGACACACCCGACTATGGCATTGATAATAACCTTAACTTGGGCTCCAAGGTGCTGGCAGCTCTTTCAGGAGGCACAATCAACCTGTACGGCCGACAGGTATGTGCAGAGAACTCGCTTAGTGGATGGGTACATTGTGATGTGCCGTGTTGGGGTTCCCTCTCCAAGCCAATCGCGGCCTTGCTGGTTTGACCTATCGTGGTGCATACAACACAGAAGTTGTGACGATGTGGGTGGGGGTGGCGCATCAGTTGCAACGTGACATGTCTCAATCCTGTCCGTATCCGTGTGCCTCACCCTTAATTTTCTAAAACCCTTTGCGAATCATAACTCTTTGCGAATCATAATCTATAGGTGGCAAAGCGCTGGCTCCGTCTCGGCAGCCGTGCCTCACCCGGGGACATCACCATCACCATGTCGGACCCCAATCACGGCTGGAGTGTCGGTGATAAGATCCTGATCAGCTCCACCTCATTCAGCTGGAAGCAGAGTGAGATCCGCACAATTGCCAGCGTCCTCAAGAACGGCTCCCAGCTGCTGCTGGACTCGCCGCTGGCCCACCCCCATGGGGCGCGGGTCAAAGCTTATCCCGGCGGCCCCACCGTGGATATGCGCGCGGAGGTTGGCCTGGTCTCTTCCAACGTCCTCATTACTGCGGATGATGGCGAGAGTACCCACTCGTACAATGGAGAAATGTTCGGTGCACGCGTAGTGGTTTCGGGCAACTCCACAGGCCGCTTTGACAACATCGCCATGGAGTACTGTGGCCAAGGCGGCCTCTCAAACCGTTCGTGCATCTTCTATGACCGGATGGCTTCCGTAAAGTTATTTAACAAAGACAACATCACCAACACAACATCACAGGTTACGGTCCCGAACCCCAGCTTCCTGAAGAACAGTGCATTGGTTTGGGGCATGCAGTCCAACGTGCGTATCGGTGGCGAACCAGAGCAAGCAGACCCTGTCAGTATCACCAACAACGTCATGTATGAAGCCCTCGACATTCATAGCGTGGAGGTTTACACCACGTAAGTGTGTTTGTTGCCTTTTTTATGGCGCTCCGGAAACTACGGGCAGGTTGTTTGGGCGCCTGCCAATGAGCCGGCGTCCGCTGCCTGCCTATTGGGCCGTTCCGCAACGGCGCTTCCGACTCATACGTCACTCGCTGCGCAAGGGGGTGTGCGCCGGGTCACCACTTCGGACTGAAGGTCTCGTTCCTTCCGTATTGCCCCCGACGGGGATGACGTTGGTGATACTAACAGGGTATGGGCATGGGCTTAGTTGCAAGTTTACGCTTTCTGTATGCCCACGACCACGCGCTGTGTGCCGTGAAGCTAGCACCGCACGAACTAGAGACCCAGACCGAACCGAGTAAATGAACCATTGCATATGTAATCAAACCCCACGGAAACAGGCAAAATATCATCCGCGGGAACTTGGTAATCGGCACGATCAAGGACATGTCGGGCAAGAGCGTGTTTGACATCGCCATGCCATCGTCCTTCTTCATTTCGAACGCTTCGAACTGGGTAACGGACAACGTGGCCGCCGGGGCGGAGCGCTATGGCTACACGTACTTCGGCATCCCGTGCGGCGCCAATTTCACGACTGGGGTGTTCCGCAACAACACCGCTCACGGTTGCCTGGCGGGCCTATGGCTGCAAGCCAGCAGCGACTCGAGCCGCGAGGGTTGCACGGTTTTGCGCAACTTCACCACGTACATGAATTGGGGTGAGTTCGCAACTCCGAGGTGTGCATGCAGTGTTGCATCGTTCTGGTAAAGTTCAGTCGCACCTAATGACTGGTGGTTGCCAGCCTTTGGCTTGGGTATCAGCAGGCGGTACTTCGAACTCGTCCCGATTTGTTTAGCTATTGGGCGCTGCTGCTCTTTTTATGTAATGCACCTTGGGGTGTAATGCACACACTCACATACATAATTACACCATTTTGCTGGAATACTTCGGTAAAGTTTCTCCTGTGTAATCGCCCGCGATTCAGATCGTCAAAATCACACAATAACCTGATGGCGGTTTTCAGCAAATCGGCACCTGTTTTTCCTGTCTTAAGGATCTTGGCCGTGGCGGCCTTCAGGAAGGCCGTGTCGCCGGAAAGGAGTCCCACCCTTGTTTTGGCCCTATTTGTGAGTTCACATAACCTTCATCGCATCCCACACCACCCATGTGATGCTGCACAGACTTTGGCATCATCTCGACGCGCGGCATCACCACGAATGTTGTACTGGAAGACGTCAACGTCCTGGACAACAAGCACGCAGGGATCCACCTGATGTATAAGGGTGGCCTGACCGATAATGGCGCCATGTGGTGGTATGGTGGCCTTATTGCGGGTCAGTCGAGCGACGACGTCTGCTCCGTCTGCACCACATTGTCGGATCCCGGCTGCCACCCTAAGATGTCCATCCAGTCGTTCAACCAGTATGAGCCCTTCTCGCCAGCGGTGGGCCTGCAGGCGTCACAATTTGCGATTAATTTCTACGATGGGCCTGAGAAGAAGCCGTGGGATAAGGCGAAGAGCTACGCCATTGTGCATGTAAGTTCGTACAAAAGCTCTAGAATTCGTTTGTTTCTGCCATCTGTCCACCTAGTGAAGCTCACCAAGTGACGCTCATCCTCAAAGTTGCCGTATTGAACTGCTCTGGTGCTTCTATTCCTCCCCGAAATACCCGGTAAATAGCAACTGCTCCAGCCGCTAATCACAAACGCAACTGTATTTATGGGTTGTGAACTGCAGGGCATGTTCAACATCACAGGTGTCACACTGGCGGACTTCCTGGGCCCCGGGGGATGTGGTGGCGCGCAGACGGGGACGTATGCCCTGGCCAACCAGCCCAAGGCCCCGGAGACGTTCTATCCACACTTCTTTTCCAACATGAATGTCGTGAATGTGACCAAAGGGTACGTGGCCCGGACGCCAAATGCACGACACGTTTTGCGTGGGGAAACGTTAAGATTTTAGGTAACGTGATAACGTTTTAAGATAACGTGAATACGCGTAGTTATCGGTTTGCAATGCTGTTCAATGTGGACGCAGCATCTCGTTTCTAATTGTCCCAGTTCAATAAAGATATACAATCTGAGAAATTTTCACTGCCGTTGTCTGTCCGGTACTTTCAGGCCCAGCCAGGGCATGTTCTATCACACCGGACCTGATCCCGGTTGGCGTGGCGAGCTCTGCGGTGAGGCGAACTACACGCGCGAGGATGGTAGTGTGATTATGCTCACCTGCGCCGGTCCCAACCACGTTCATTGGCGCGACCTGGATGGTTCGCTTTTGGGAGATGTGGGCAGCGTGTCCGGCTACTTCCAAGACGGCCCGCGTGTTTTCCCCATGGAGCAGGGCACGCCCGTTGTACCGGGGCCATGCACATATGATCCCATACTCAGGTCGTACGGCTGCGTCCAGGGCTCATCCTCGTTCTTATTGGATGCTCCCATGAAGCCTAAGCCCATACCGGCTGACGGAATTTGGGGTGATCCACAGTATTTTGTGCTCGAGAGCCGTGACAAAGACAGCGAGGATCGCAACTTTGGCCCTGTATTCTTCAACGTGTCTGGATCAATCGACCTGGTGACGGTGCAGATGGATCACGGCTGCTGCTTTACATACAAGTGCCAGAAACGTCTGTCGACCTTTGCTACTTACGTACCCAGCGGCCAGACAGTGTACATTAACTTCACAGGCACGCCTTCGCAAATCTTCCGTCTATGGCTCCCGTACGCTGATCCGGACAAGGAAATTGTCGTGGTAATCAATTACCTTTACACTATGAACCGTCGCTTTGTGGTCCTGCCGGGTGGCGTGTCTAACGTTACGGGTCGCATCCCGCCCGAGGCATCAGCGCCCACGATTGGCGACGGGAAGGGCCACGGCGCGTACTACTGGGACCAGTTTAACACGCTCATGCATGTAAAGATGACGGGCGGCAAGCATCTGGAAATCCGGACAGAGAATGCGGTGCAGGTGCGTACAACTCTTTACCAGCGGACCGAGATGGCTGGCATTAGGAAGGGAAGAAGATCCTTCTCCTTGGATAGAGTCCAGGCTTTGTCAGCATGACATGCATCTCAGTTGAAGTCATGGAAGTGCTGAATTCCTCCTTGCTACCACTTAGGCATACGGTTAAAGCACTTCCCATTTCCTCATCCACGTGATTCAATCCCACCTCTGAACCCCTCTCCCTTGCAGATCTCCCAATCGTTCGCGCTCACGGTGGACCAGTTTTATGATATCAAGGAGTTGTTCCTGAAGAACCTTGCCTACGCCATGAACATTTCGATGGACCGTATCTATATTGTGAAGGTGGTGCCGGGCACGGTCACCGCTACCATTGCTATAGCGCCTGCGGTGCAGGATGTTTCTGAGCTCACTATTGCCGATGCCCTCGACGCGGGTGACCCACTTCCGACAGTGCTGCCGCCCGCCGAGCCACCTGTAGTCCTGACTGACGAGGACAAGATAAATCTGGCCTCCATGGGTGACAATGCACCGCAGAATTTAACATGGAGCACCCTGCTCGTGTTGCGGCAACTGTGGGCGCTGTTTGACACGTACACATCGGTGGTAAATTCAGTCGCTCAAGGCACCCCCGGTTTGGAAGGGGTTGTGCTGGGAGCGCCGACGGCGTACATACCGAGTCTTGAAACGCTAGAGCAAATGTTTCCGAACACAACAATACCGTCTTCTACTCCTAGTTCCCCGCCGCCTTCATCGCCGAGCCAGGGTGAAGTAATTCCCGTCGAAAATAGTGGCAATGCAGGAAGCACAGGTAGTAATACAGGCAGTAACACTGGCAGCACTGGTGGCAGTGGCGCGGGCGCGGGTTCGAATAATGGCGACGACAAAGCTGGGATGATCGCTGGAGCTGTTCTCGGCGGCGTCTTCGGTGCCTGCCTAATTGCAGGTGCCGTGATGTTTGCCATTATTGCGGCGCAACGCCGCAAGGCCAAGCGCCTGCGGCCCGTATCTCCGGCGCGCAGTACAGGTGCACAACCGGAAAGTGCCGCGCTCCCTGAGTTGCCCCCACGCCGCAACTCAAGCCAGGGCGGCGGCAGCCAGAGCGGCGTACGTGAGGCTTTTACAGCAGGCCATTCCACCGGTCCAGGCGCCGTCTCGGAGCGCGAGCGGCGGCCCACAGTCTCGGCGGAACTGGACGCCGAGCGCCCCATGTCGGCGCGGGCAGTGGCACACATTTCAGCATTAAATGCACCATTACCGTCTGCTGGTTCAGCGACATGCTCTCTCGCTGCAGGATATGTAGCGCCATCAGAGCCGGAGGTCATTCGGCCATTGGTTTCGGCAAACAAACAGCCCCACACCAGCTCACCCGTGGTGCTGCCGACGTTCCCACAACTAGGATCGCCGAAGACTGCAAACACGGCCGGAGATGGGAAGCCTGACCGTCGCTCTTCTATGGGCGAATCGGTGACTAAGACGCCGGCGGAGCTGCAGCGCCTTGACAGCCTGACGCGAAACTCAGCGCCTCACAAATGGGAGAGCGACATGGCTCCGCCGGTGGTCATGGGCCGTTTGTCGCAAAGCATCACAGCCGTTCGACCCGCTAGTGGGGCCCACCCCGGCAGCGGCCTCCCCGAGACTTCACCGTTGGACAGTTCCCGAACCAACGCAGCCCGGCCGGGCAGCGCCCGTCCCGGATTTACATTATTGGTATCGGATGTTGAGCCATCGGGCGTAACTATAGCGGCAGAGCAGGCTATGCCATTTGAAGCGGATACACAGGTGGTTGCCGGCATGGAGACCCCGGTCGTGCGTGCACTGGAGACCCAGGAGTCATGGCGCCCCAAGTCTCGCGCAGCAACCGGCTCGCGCCCTCCCAGCGGAGGTGTCCCCCACGCTGCTGCACCAGAGGACCAGGCCCCAGTCCAGGGCGTCGGAGGCAGCACAGCGGACCTGTCGCCCGGCTTCCCAATCTCACCACCGCAGGAGGTATACCGCCGTACATCGTCCCCGCGTCAGCCGACTATGATGCTGCCGGGTGGTATGATGGAGTTTTCAGCATCGCCATCACTACTGCGCAGTGAGGTAGCCGCGATGATTGTGGCTGCAGGGAGCAACCAAGGCTTGGACAGTGTTGCGGCCGCAGTAATGCAGGAGGATCAGCAGCAGGGCAGCCCCCATGCTGCCCGCACCCCGGCGGGGTTGCGGAGCGATAGCATGCGCTGGCAGGGCGGAGAGCAAAGCTGAGAGCCGGAGCTGTATGTAGGGCACAGGAATAGGAAATGGTGTTATGCGAGAACTGGAGAGCACTCGGGGTACTGGTGTCGCGAAATTCAGTCGCGAGGGTTCGGAAACCCACGTCCGGTACGTATACACTGTGCCGCGGGATGTGCTGCCTGCGTGCACGGGCAGGCGCAGGGTTTTCTTGCCCGTGTTTCCTAAGGAGCACTACATATGTGTGCCTTCAAGAATCCGTGGTGGATTCGGATGCTGATGTCTAGCACGATGCAGCGGGCATGCAAGCTATTGGTGGAGATCCCTTACTTGCCGTTAGCCGAAAGCTATGGATAGTTGGCCGGGAAAAGGAGGGACCATGTGCTGTACAGGATGCAATATGCCACCGCCATTCGCTGTGATTGAAAGGGTTGCTCTGTGGCAACTTCAATAGCGACGGATAGGGCAGCCAAGATAGTAACAATTAGCATAGGAAGTACGTATTTAATGGCCATGGCGGGATAGGCGAGATAGTTTGCTTCAGATAATTAGTCCGACCCTTTTCTTTTATGGTTTTCATGTCCGGGATATAGCGAGGTTGCTGTATCTGCTCTTGGGTTTTCATCACAGATGATGTACGCTTGGAATGCAACCTTACTTTGGCTATGCGGACGTATGATGCCGTGCTTAATTCGTCTAAGGAAACAAAAACAATCACGGCACATCCATTATAGGCCTCGGCTGCCGTAGCTGTGGCAGAACTTAGATGTCCAGATCGTATATTTCTGGCACATCTTTTACAAGATATCCAAACTCATTCGCATGTGTGCTTTAAGTGGTGGAGGGGCCGTGCTAAGGTCTGCGGTTTGGGGCCCCTTGCATGACAACGCAAGCAGGTATTAGCAATAAGCACGCATAAATAGTTGACACGCTGCAAAGCGATGTGAGGCCCTCAAAGCTGACAAAACGCATGCAAAACTGTCAATGGACCCTTGTCGAGGTCGGTAGGTGCTGCCTCCTCTTGCATGTCTGCGTTTAACACAACGGGTTTCGGGAATGAGAGCACCAAATATACGCCTTGGAGTGCTTGCCTTAAATTGCGTCACAGCTGGTTGCGGAATAGTTGTTTTGGTTGGGCAGCACTGGCAGGACCGACTGCTGCTCGCCAACTGATTTGGGCCTGTCTTCATGGATAGTTTATGGAGGCAATGGATGGACAGGGGCTGAGGCTATGAAACAGATACTTACGGCATCTGCACGTGTCGAACGTGGTTCTGTTATGACCGTGAGGGCGGGGTACGATGACAGTCATAGGCTGCATAGGCTGGACACGGCTGGTGGCTCAGGCCCCAGGAGCCATCAGGACTGTCATTGCTACTGTCCACGATCGTTTCGACCACTCCGCAAGGCCAATGGCTTGACTGCTTGTCGCGGCTGGGCATTGTAGCTACCACGTACGACAAGGCTGCTAGAAGGCTGATCGACGGCTCCTAATCTCCCATGCAAATAAAAAGGCTCTCCTGGCACATGGCCGCAACGATCAAACGTAAACAATCTGACTACCTACGTCAACGCGTTACTCTTAGACCCCATAACAGCGTAAGTCCGCTAAACAGCGTAGCTATGCGGATCTGGCGGAGCCTCTAAGCATCTGACCAAACAACATCCACTAGTTGCGCTGGTTCCTCTTTACCTTCAGCACTAGACTTTTCAGTTGTCTTCACATCAATTAAATGGTACTTTCCATAACCAAGATCGACAGTATAAAACTATAAGTGGCTTTCAAGTATGTAGCCTGCATCTGCTGGGGATGCACGCGCACTTCATAAAAAACGGCTTCATCCTTTTGTGCATTTTGCAGTTCTCCTTCACTACTGCACAAATGAACCCTCTGTGGATTCTAGCTAATTGCGGCATGATGTGAAGCCGCCCGTCTGCACAGCGTTTCATAAGGAAGTAGACATCGAATAGGAACCAGATGTCAGAGGTTGTATGTTCTCCAGGCGCTCATTCCTTTGGGATGCGTTTCATGTTAGTAATGAAGGGCACATGAAGGCCGCACGCTAGCCGTACAAAGTTTCATTCAGATGCATAACGTGCATTTCCGTGCCATGGCTTGAGCAAAACAATTTACAACCCGGTTTTGTTTTCTTAGTTTCTCTCAACTTCGGCCAGGAAATGTACCAAGAATTTTGACCATGTTGGCCCTTCGCTTAACATTGTTAGCCTTCCTTGCTGGGTTGCTCTACAGGGCTGTAGGCCAGCCAGTTATCAACCGTGTTGACCCTTCAGTAGGCAGTCTTGCCGGAGGCACCAGGTGGGCCTGGCCTTCGAGTTGACTACATGCCCAAGATGCGGCTTACCTGACAGTGCCTGTTCTCCTTCCACAGGCTGGTAATCTATGGCAATAATTTTGGGGACATGTACACCACTAGCAGCTCTGTTTATGTAGGTCCGTATCCCTGCAATTTAATCTCCCACTACTCGAGCAGCGAAGTGGTAAGTACTCGCATGTCAACCTTTCAACTACGATCCCAAAAGCAAGAACAAAACTTGCCTCAACCTCAATGTTTTTCCGCACATTCTTCCAGTTGACCTGCGAAACCAGCCCGGGCTCAGCCGGTACTTACCTGGTTTATGTTTCAGTCGGCGACTATGAACCCGCCATGTATGGAGGATTCACGTATACAAACGATATTACGCCAAGTAAGCTGCACTCTTGACACAGTCACTCTTGCATTTTGTGCGGTTTGGTTTACGAATTTGCGCACGTGGGCTCTGTGCTTGCTTAGGAGCGTTGCCTTACACCGCATCCACCGCAACAATTACCTATGGCTGTCTTTTCCTCTTACTCGTGCCCACCTGGCGCCTTGGACCCTACCAATAATGCGATGTGCTGACTTGTGCCCCCAGCTCTCAAGGCTGTCTTGCCGCGTGCGGGGCCGCCGGGAGCAGACGTGTTCATATACGGTGACAGGACCTGGTACATGGCGTATCGCGACTGCATTGAGTCAAACTGGGGCGATACGAGCTGCGTCGGCAGCATTCTTTTCGGCGACTACCTCTGCAGGCAGGACCCAGCCGACCAAGACTCGCCCATCATCATGACCACCAATCAGCGGCTTGGCGGCTACCTGTACCGTATCGGGTGCACTATGCCAGCGCAGGACAGCAACAACACTCAGGTGACACATGGGGAGTCAATCGGTGGTCATTAATTACTTCTTGTGGAGTGCAACTAGCGTACGCATACGGGGGCATGGAAATCTGGGGTGAGGGGGCGGATATGGTCTTGCACAATACCATCCAGATGTTGACCCAACTCAAATCAGGTGAACACGTGGGGAGTCAATGGGTGGTCGTTGTGCGGGGACGCCCATAAAGCAGGCGGGCCATACTTCATGGGGGTTTTGAAACTTCGGGATGGAGACTTCAGGTGAGAGAGCACAATATGTTCCCGGCACTGACCCAGTTCAAAGTCCAAAGTCACACCCTTGGGTTCACATGAATGCCCGCAGCCCGCCCTCGGCACGGCAGCCAAGTTGAATGCGACCATCCACTTTGAGGCCAGCATGCGTGGTGGTGCACCGACTGCCCTCCCTTCGTCGTTCCTGTACGATGTCGACAGCGTGCCCTACCAGTTTCAGCTATACCCAGAGGTTACAGGTGTGTCGCCCGCGACCGGATCGAATGCGGGTGGCACCTTGGTCAAAGTCACCGGACGTGGGTTTCCCGACTTGATGCTGGACTTGAATGATACGATTGCCATCTCTATTGCCGGTGTGCCTTGTGACATCGTGAACAGCACTTACGACACGCTCTTCTGTGTGACCGGCCCTAAGCCTGCGGCCACGGCATCCCCTATTGGCGGGTTGTACCCTGCAATGCGTGGCATCGAGTACGAGTTTTATAATGGCTCGCGGCTGTCATATGGAAATCTTTGGCAGCTGAACAACACCATCAAGGTGCAGGCTTTGAATGGCTCTTACCGTGCCGTGCTGACGGGTTCCTGGGAAGGAAACGAATATTCCACGCCGTACTACTGCAGCCGCAGCAAAGCGTTTTTTACAGCTCCCCGCGCCGGGAACTACAGGTAAGAGTACTTGAGCTTCGTAGCTTCGTTGTACTGCTTAATCTGTCGTGCATGCCGCCGAGCAGAGCGGTGCATGGCGTCTGTAAATTTGAGGAGTGCCTATAGACCATCTATTCCAGGCCTATCTATTACCATGGCACGATCTATAGACCAATCTGTACCATGATCTATACACGATTTATTTCTTGGTCCTATCTATAATACGATGACCCTGTCTATAGACGATTAAAAAAAAACCTTACCGACGGGTGTATGCCCCGCCATGAATTGTAGGATACTTATGTGTTCTACTGCAAGGGCCTGCATGGGGTTGCATGAAAGCATCGCGAACGGGCACGGGAACGGGAAACATGTCCGTCCTCAATCACGCCCGCCTTTCCCCCATCTCGCAGTTTCTACATGTCCGCAGATGACTATGCCCAACTGAATGGGACATGGAAACAGGTATGTCATTGAAGAGCACACGCCCCACATACGGCACATGGAAGAGGACCCTAATACGCTGCTTGTTAGCAGCCATGTTCTTGTGCGTGATCATGACGGCTGTACGGCGGTACACAAATCACAGTGGCGTATCCATCCTCCGCAAGACTAAGCGTTCCTTCGTCAGCTTCAGGCTCAAGACTGCCGAAAGGCCTGCCTTAAAGCTCTCCTGCCCTTTTTCAACCTAAGTTCTATGGTGCTACCGCCAGTAGTTCGAATGATCTGCCCGAACGTTTCTTTACGCCCTTTATTTTGTGTGGTCCGCCTTCTGCGGAGGCCTATTACTGTTTCGTCTTCTCATCCCGTGTGTACCGTTGTTGCTCCTGTGGGTTGCCCCTTGCAGTCCAATGGCGCATTGGTATCGACCACACTCATCAACCTTCAGTCCTGGACGTATATTGACAACTTCTTCCAATACGCATCGCAGCGGTCACCGGAGGTCACCCTGAGCGCAGGCCAGAGTATACTTCTGGAGATGAACCACTGCAACGGCCCCTCTGTCGGTGCCCCGCAGCTGGCCGTGCGCATGCCAGTCCCAGAGCCGCGGCTGAACTCCCTATCAGAGATACAAAAGATCTCTATCTCTGCGACCTTTTTTCCTCGCTCAGTTGCCATCAAATATCTGTATGGTGCTGGCGCCGCCATGACTGCCTTCAACATCACCATCAGCGCCCTGAATGACACTGCCCTGGATGACCCGCAGATCGGACTGTATGTGCAGATCAACGGCGGCTGGGATATTGTCCTTCCCTTGGGTGCCACCACCGGTGCAATGGATGACCTGGTGGAAGCCTCCCTCGGTGGAAACTTCACCAAGAACGACACCTTGTTTGGCATCCGCAAGACCCGCGCTTATGGCACGCTGACGCTGCAGATGGCTGCTTTGGATGGATCCATGGGAAGCTTCGATGTGACTGCAGCGAGATTGGTCCTCCTTCCCCCGCCGCCGCCGCCCATGGCCAACACCTGCCCTTCTAATAGCAGCACTGCTATCAACGTCACATCTATCTATCCTCCTCCTGCTCCTGAGGCACTACAGAGTGTTGGTACTGGTTTTGCAGTTGTTGTGTCACGAGCCCAGGCGGTCCCTGCGGTCGTTCCTACAGGCGACTTCCTGTTGGGGCTTTACGGCAGCGTCAACACATACAACGTGTCAGCAACTTCCAACTCCACAGCGATGGTTGCTGCAATCCAAAATGTGACTGGTTACAACTCCTATTACTATTCGGTGAACGTAGCCGATACACGTGAAGGTGCCTATTTTGCACGCATCTGGAACATCACCTTCACCTACTCGTGGTTGGACAACGTACCGGCACTGGTGGTCGGGCCTTCAAGTACGACACCCCCGGGCGCATTACTAGCAATGGAGTCACGCAGCGCCAGCCCGCGCCTGCAGGGCTCCTTCAAGGTGGCCTTTGGCAGCAGCTGCGCATCTGTGAAAATCAACCTTGGAGACTCCTCCGAAACAATTAAGGCCGCACTGGGCAGCCTGCCGGGCCTGGCGCCACCGAAGCAGGTTGATGTCTCAGGCGACGGTACCAGCGGCTACGTTTACACCATCACCTTCGACCCAATCAATAATCCTGGAGATCAGCCGGAGCTGCGCATTGCGGATGCAAGCGACCTCCAGGGTGTGAACCCCACGGGTAGCATCACGACTGTGTGGAATGGCACCACTGACGCCTTCTACGCGCCCATCCCGACGGAGTTTCTGCGCCTGGCTGTTTCGCAACCTGGGACCATCAACTTGCAAGTCAACGGCGTGCCATCGGCTTGTGCGGATGCAAGCGGCATCTGTGGGTTTTTGTACTCTGATGCTGCCACCCCACGCATCACAGGCGTATCACCGACTAGACTCGCATTCAGCAGCCAGGCGAGCTTGCCCCTTACCATTACTGGTTCTGGTTTCAGCAGTGGCCCCAGTGTGGAGGTCCGAGTGGGCACGGCGCTGTGCAATGTGACATCAGTCACTGCGACC